CACGCCTACCACATACCTACCACAGTACCCACTACACACCTACCACACACCTACCACACGCCTCCACATGCCCACCACACACCTACCACCTGCCAAGAGCACCAAACTGGAGGTGAAGTTCCAGCATATGGCCTTTGCGAACCCTTCCAGAGCTAGGCTTGCAGGCCCCATGGCTCCATTAGGTTTTTACAACAGTCTCACCAGAGAAATCACAGTGATGTCACCAGGTACCGACACAGCTCCAGGGGCCACACGTGCCATGTCCCAGACACCATGTGCCCCATGTGAACCCTACAGCGTGGCTTGAGCTCAGTGCCCACCTTCCCTGTCAGAGCAAGGGGCCACGGTTGCCTACATATGTGGCCTTAGGACCCAGCGCCAGGGCCCAGACATGGCAGATTCAAATCAGATTTCCTCCATTTTGTTATATTCGCCAGTTCTGAGCTGGATAACCAGACCCACTGCAGCCCGCCATGGAGTCCCGCCACGCAGTGTACTGCCCCAGCTCATCGCAGCCCTTCTGTGGAGCAGGGCTCTGGGTGGACGCTGGCGCAGTGTGGAATGCCCAGGGCTCTGGGTGGGCGCTGGCGCAGTGTGGAATGCCCGGGGCTCTGGGTGGGCGCTGGCGCAGTGTGGAATGCCCGGGGCTCTGGGTGGACGCTGGCGCAGTGTGGAATGCCCGGGGCTCTGGGTGGACGCTGGCGCAGTGTGGAATGCCCGGGGCTCTGGGTGGACGCTGGCGCAGTGTGGAATGCCCGGGGCTCTGGGTGGGCGCTGGCGCAGTGTGGAATGCCCGGGGCTCTGGGTGGGCGCTGGCTCAGTGTGGAATGCCCGGGGCTCTGGGTGGGCGCTGGCTCAGTGTGGAATGCCCGGGGCTCTGGGTGGACGCTGGCGCAGTGTGGAATGCCCGGGGCTCTGGGTGGGCGCTGGCGCAGTGTGGAATGCCCGGGGCTCTGGGTGGGCGCTGGCGCAGTGTGGAATGCCCGGGGCTCTGGGTGGGCGCTGGCTCAGTGTGGAATGCCCAGGGCTCTGGGTGGGCGCTGGCGCAGTGTGGAATGCCCGGGGCTCTGGGTGGGCGCTGGCGCAGTGTGGAATGCCCGGGGCTCTGGGTGGGCGCTGGCTCAGTGTGGAATGCCCGGGGCTCTGGGTGGGCGCTGGCGCAGTGTGGAATGCCCGGGGCTCTGGGTGGGCGCTGGCGCAGTGTGGAATGCCCGGGGCTCTGGGTGGGCGCTGGCGCAGTGTGGAATGCCCGGGGCTCTGGGTGGGCGCTGGCTCAGTGTGGAATTCCCAGGGCTCTGGGTGGACGCTGGCTCAGTGTGGACTGCCCAGGGCTCTGGGTGGACGCTGGCTCAGTGTGGAATGCCCAGGGCTCTGGGTGGACGCTGGCGCAGTGTGGACTGCCCAGGGCTCTGGGTGGACGCTGGCGCAGTGTGGACTGCCCGGGGCTCTGGGTGGGCGCTGGCGCAGTGTGGAATGCCCAGGGCTCTGGGTGGACGCTGGCGCAGTGTGGACTGCCCAGGGCTCTGGGTGGACGCTGGCGCAGTGTGGACTGCCCGGGGCTCTGGGTGGGCGCTGGCGCAGTGTGGAATGCCCAGGGCTCTGGGTGGACGCTGGCGCAGTGTGGACTGCCCAGGGCTCTGGGTGGGTGCTGGCTCAGTGTGGAATGCCCAGGGCTCTGGGTGGACGCTGGCGCAGTGTGGACTGCCCGGGGCTCTGGGTGGACGCTGGCGCAGTGTGGAATGCCCAGGGCTCTGGGTGGACGCTGGCTCAGTGTGGAATGCCCAGGGCTCTGGGTGGACGCTGGCTCAGTGTGGAATGCCCAGGGTTCTGGGTGGGCGCTGGCGCAGTGTGGAATGCCCAGGGCTCTGGGTGGGCGCTGGCTCAGTGTGGAATGCCCGGGGCTCTGGGTGGGCGCTGGCTCAGTGTGGAATGCCCGGGGCTCTGGGTGGACGCTGGCGCAGTGTGGAATGCCCGGGGCTCTGGGTGGGCACTGGCTCAGTGTGGAATGCCCAGGGCTCTGGGTGGGCGCTGGCGCAGTGTGGAATGCCCGGGGCTCTGGGTGGACGCTGGCTCAGTGTGGAATGCCCAGGGCTCTGGGTGGGCGCTGGCTCAGTGTGGAATGCCCGGGGCTCTGGGTGGACGCTGGCGCAGTGTGGACTGCCCGGGGCTCTGGGTGGACGCTGGCTCAGTGTGGAATGCCCGGGGCTCTGGGTGGGCGCTGGCTCAGTGTGGAATGCCCAGGGCTAGGTGGGCACTGGCTCAGTGTGGAATGCCCAGGGCTCTGGGTGGGCGCTGGCTCAGTGTGGAAGTCCAGGGCTCTGGGCGGGCGTTGGCGCAGTGTGGAATGCCCAGGGCTCTGGGTGGACTCAGTGTGGACTGCCCAGGGCTCTGGGTGGGCACTGACTCAGTGTGGAATTTCCAGAGCTCTGGCTGAGCACTGGCTCAGTGCGGAATGTCCAGGGCTCTGGGTGGACTCAGTGTGGAATACCCGGGGCTCTGGGTGGGCACTGGCTCAGTGTGGAATGCCCGGGGCTCTGGGTGGACTCAGTGTGAAATTCCCGGGGCTCTGGGTGGGCACTGGCTCAGTGTGGAATGCCCAGGGCTCTGGGTGGACTCAGTGTGGAATGCCCAGGGCTCTGGGTGGACTCAGTGTGGAATGCCCAGGGCTCTGGATGGACTCAGTGTGGAATGCCCAGGGCTCTGGGTGGGAGCTGGTGCAATGTGGAATGTGGACTCAGTGTGGAATACCTGGGGCTCTGGGTGGGCACTGACTCAGTGTGAACGAGACCTGGTGCTCAGTGCCACTTCTCACCACTACCAACCCTCCTGAGTGCCCTGCCTGGCCCTCTCCCATGCTTTCCCTCCCTCTCCCTCCCCCCTCCTCTAAGCCCATCCCAGCCCCTCCCCACCTTGAGGAGCCTTTCTACAGGGCCAGCCCATCCCAGACCCTCCCATCCTGAGGGAATTTTCTGCAGGGCCAGCCCAGCTTCCTTAAGCTTCCAGCAGTCCCTCTGAGACAGGCTCCAGGATGCCTCCCTTTCCTTGGGTGGGGTCCTAGTCTGGAAGAGCAGATGCAGTGGTGTGGGCAGTGCTGAGGGCAGTGCTGAAGACAGTGGTGAGGGCAGAGATGAGGGCAGAGGTGAGGACAGTGGTGAGGGCAGAGGTGAGAGGGCAGAGGTGAGGGCAGAGGTGAGGGCAGTGGTGAGGCCAGAGATGAGGGCAGAGGTGAGGGCAGAGGTGAGGGCAGAGGTGAGGGCAGTGGTGAGGGCAGTGGTGAGGCCAGAGATGAGGGCAGAGGTGAGGGCAGAGGTGAGGGCAGAGGTGAGGGCAGTGGTGAGGGCAGTGGTGAGGCCAGAGATGAGGGCAGAGGTGAGGGCAGAGGTGAAGGCAGTGGTGAGGGCAGTGGTGAGGGCAGAGGTGAGGGCAGAGGTGAGGACAGAGGTGAGGACAGTGGTGAGGGCAGTGGTGAGGCCAGAGATGAGGGCAGAGGTGAGGGCAGAGGTGAGGGCAGAGGTGAGGGCAGTGGTGAGGCCAGAGATGAGGGCAGTGGTGAGGGCAGAGGTGAGGGCAGTGGTGAGGGCAGAGGTGAGGGCAGTGGTGAGGACAGTGGTGAGGGCAGTGGTGAGGGCAGAGGTGAGGGCAGTGGTGAGGGCAGAGGTGAGAGCAGTGGTGAGGGCAGAGGTCAGGGCAGTGGTGAGGGCAGTGGTGAGGGCAGAGGTGAGGGCAGTGGTGAGGGCAGAGGTGAGGGCAGTGGTGAGGGCAGTGGTGAGGGCAGAGGTGAGGGCAGTGGTGAGGGCAGTGGTGAGGGCAGAGGTGAGGGCAGTGGTGAGGGCAGTGGTGAGGGCAGTGGTGAGGGCAGAGGTGAGGGCAGTGGTGAGGGCAGAGGTGAGGGCAGAGGTGAGGGCAGCGGTGAGGGCAGAGGTGAGGGCAGAGGTGAGGGCAGCGGTGAGGGCAGTGGTGAGGGCAGAGGTGAGGGCAGTGGTGAGGGCAGTGGTGAGGGCAGTGGTGAGGGCAGGGGTGAGGGCAGTGGTGAGGGCAGTGGTGAGGGCAGTGGTGAGAGCAGTGGTGAGGGCAGAGGTGAGGGCAGTGGTGAGGGCAGAGGTGAGGGCAGAGGTGAGGGCAGCGGTGAGGGCAGAGGTGAGGGCAGAGGTGAGGGCAGAGGTGAGGGCAGTGGTGAGGGCAGTGGTGAGGGCAGAGGTGAGGGCAGTGGTGAGGGCAGTGGTGAGGGCAGAGGTGAGGGCAGTGGTGAGGGCAGTGGTGAGGGCAGTGGTGAGGGCAGTGGTGAGGGCAGGGGTGAGGGCAGTGGTGAGGGCAGTGGTGAGGGCAGTGGTGAGGACAGTGGTGAGGGCAGTGGTGAGGGCAGAGGTGAGGGCAGTGGTGAGGGCAGTGGTGAGGGCAGGGGTGAGGGCAGAGGTGAGGGCAGAGGTGAGGGCAGTGGTGAGGGCAGTGGTGAGGGCAGTGGTGAGGGCAGTGGTGAGGGCAGGGGTGAGGGCAGAGGTGAGGGCAGAGGTGAGGGCAGAGGTGAGGGCAGAGGTGAAGGCAGAGGTGAGGACAGAGGTGAGGGCAGAGGTGAGGACAGAGGTGAGGGCAGAGGTGAGGGCAGAGGTGAGGGCAGTGGTGAGGGCAATGGTGAGGGCAGAGGTGAAGGCAGTGGTGAGGGCAGAGATTAGGGCAGAGATGAGGGCAGAGGTGAGGGCAATGGTGAGGGCAGGGGTGAGGGCAGGGGTGAGGGCAGTGGTGAGGGCAGAGATGAGGGCAGGGGTGAGGGCAGTGGTGAGGGCAGAGGTGAGGGCAGCAGTGAGGGCAAGGTGAGGGCAGAGGTGAGGGCAGCAGTGAGGGCAGAGGTGAGGGCAGAGGTGAGGGCAGCAGTGAGGGCAGAGGTGAGGGAAGTGGCAAGGACAGAGGTGAGGGCATTGGTGAGGGCAGGGGTGGGAGTAGTGGTGAGGGCAGCGACCCTGGGCTGGGCACCCTTTGCTCACCGGTCTGTCTGCCCGTGGCAGGGTTTCTGTACTGCTTCCCTGCACTCTCCCTGCTCGGGCTCTTCCCGCAGATCAACACCTTCTGCACCTACCTTCTGGAACAGATTGACATGCTGCTCTTCGGAGGCTCGGGTAAGTGCCTCCCGCACAGGTCAGAGAAGGTGGATGGCCGGAGACCGCCTGCCCAGGGCCAGCTGTCCCCTGCCTGCGCCCCTGCGGTGGCTGCGCCTCTTTGGCAGGGTGGGGCCCTCAGACATCCCCGGCTCCTCTTGGAACCAGAAACGGCCCATGTGGCCACACTTGGTGGGTCAAGTCCCTGCGGAAGGGAAGGATCTGCTGCAGCTTGGAGTGGGTTGGGGGTCTTTGCTAGTTCTTGGAACGAGCTCCAAGAGGAAGACAGAGAGAGGGACAGGGGGTGTGGTGGGAGAGGAGGGGGAAGAGGGGGAGGGGAAGGGCTGTGGTGGAAGGGGGAGAGGGAAAATGGTGGGAGGAGGGAGGGGTATAGAGGGGGGTGAATGGTGAGAAAAGAAAGAGAGAATGGTGAGGAAGGAAGGGGTGCATGTGCATTTGTCCTTGAGGTCTGGGTGTATGAGTGGACGAGTGTGTGTGTGTGTGTGTGTGTGTGTGTGTGTGTGTGTGTGTGTGAGTGGGGGGACCAGCCCCCTCCTCCACACTGTACACCCACCATCTTGTCAGGCCCTCCCTCCCTCCCTCCTCCCTGCCTCCAGTGCTGTTCCTTCTGCGCCTCCTCCCTGTCCTATTGCGGCTGTGGTGATTTTGGCTTTGGCAGCTCATTGGTGTCTGAATGCCTCTGCTCTCCTCCCTGCCTCTCCATGTCCACAACCTGGTGAGGTGTGTGTTTGTGTGTAGCTGAGGTGTGAGTTTGTGTCTAGCCAAGGTGTGAGTTCGAGTCTAGCTGAGGTGAGTTCATGTCTAGCCAAGGTGTGAGTTTGTGTGTAGCCAAGGTGTGTGTTCGTGTCTAGCTGAGGTGTGTGTTCGTGTCTAGCTGAGGTGTGAGTTTGTGTCTAGCCAAGGTGTGAGTTCGTGTCTAGCCAAGGTGTGAGTTCGTGTCTAGCCAAGGTGTGTGTTTGTGTTGCAGCCGTCTCTGGGATCCTGTCGGCCCTGTACAGCGTGGGGCGGAGTGTCTTGGTCGCGGTGCTGCTCCACGCTGTCTGCTTCAGCGCGGTGAAGGTAGGTTCTGCCGGACACGGCCCTCCCTCCACCCGTCCCTGTGCCTGTGGACCAGGTTTTCTCTAATCATGGAAGACAGAGTGTCTGAGCATTGGGTGACAGGGCTTGAGCTCGGTGAGGCCTCAGTCGGTGTTGCCAGACCAAGGTGCCCAGCTGCCCCGCATGGCTACCCAACATCACTGGAAAATTCTAAGAGGCTGTGGAAACTGCTGGAGAATCTCATATCTAAATAGGCAGAAGTTACTGGGCACCATGGCTCACGCCTATAATCCTAGCTACTCAGGAGCCCGAGAGCTGAGGATTCGGGGCAGCCCACCTAGACAGACAAATGTGCGAGACTCTGCTCTCCAGTTAACCAGCAAAAACCTGGACATGGAGATGTGGCTCAAGTGGTAAAGCATCAGCCTTGAGCAAAAAAGCCATGTAAGAGTTCAAGGCCCTGAGTTCAAGCCCCAGGGCTAGCACTCAATAAACAGGAGGACTTTCAGGTTCTTTCCCTGCAGCTGAGGAGGGTAGGCTTTCTTGCCTTCCATCTCCACTGAGCTTCCTTTTCCTGAGAGGCCCCGCAGACAGATGCTGGGGCTTGTCCCCTCCATGGTCAGCGGTGCCTGGCATCCAGTGGGTAGAGCCAGCAGCAGGTGCTGATGGGACAGCCCCAGGCCAGGCCCCCTCCTGACCTGGGCAGAGCCTTGCCTTTCTGTTTTCCCTCCTGTGTGAGGCATGATAGAAGTGGAAGTGGGGGTCGATTCCATTGTGAAGTCACGCTGCGTGCAGTCACGCTGTCTGCAGTCTCACACTGTGTGCAGACATGTGTGCAGTCATGTTGTATGTACTCATGCTGTGTGCAGTCACACCGTGTGCAGCCGTGCCGTGTGCAGTCACACCGTGTGGTCACGCTGTGTGCAGTCACGTTGTATGTACTCATGCTGTGTGCAGTCACACTGTGTGCAGCCGTGCCGTGTGCAGTCACACTGTGTGCAGACATGTGTGCAGTCACGTTGTATGTACTCATGCTGTGTGCAGTCACGCTGTGTGCAGCCGTGCCGTGTGCAGTCACACCGTGTGGTCACGCTGTGTGCATTCATACTGTGTGCAGTCACGTGTACAGTCACGCTGTGTGCAGTCATGTTGTGTGCAGTCACACTGTGTGGTCACGCTGTGTGCAGTCACACTGTGTGCGGTCATACTGTGTGCAGTCACCTGTGAAGTCATAGTGTATGCAGTCATGTTGTGTGCAGCCACACTCTGTGAAGTCACGCCATGTGCAGTCACGCTGTGTGCAGTCACACCGTGTGCAGTCACGTATGCAGTCATGCTGTGTGCAGTCACGTTGTGTGCATTCACGCCATGTGCAGTCATACTTGTGTGCAGTCATACTGTGTGAAGTCATGTGTGCAGTCATGCTGTGTGCAGTCATACTGTGTGCAGTCACATTGTGAAGTCACGTTGTATGCAGTCACGCCATGTGCAGTCATACTGTGTGCACTCACACTGTGTGCAGTCACGCCACGTGCAGTCATACTGTGTGCAGTTGTGTTGTGTACAGTCATGCTGTGTGAAGTCACATTGTGTGCAGTCGCACTGTGTGAAGTCACATTTTGTGCAGTCACACTGTGTGAAGTCACATTGTGTGCAGTCGCACTGTGTGAAGTCATGTTGTGTGCAGTCATACTATGTGAAGTCATGTTGTGTGCAGTCAGACTGTGTGCAGTCACACTATCTGCAGTCACGCTGTGTGCAGTCACACTGTGTGCAGTCATACTGTGTGCAGTCACACTGTGTGCAGTCATACTGTGTGCAGTCACGCTGTGTGCAGTCACGCTGTGTGCAGTCACGCTGTGTGCAGTCACACTATCTGCAGTCACGCTGTGTGCAGTCACACTGTGTGCAGTCATACTGTGTGCAGTCACGCTGTGTTCAGTCACGCTGTGTGAAGTCATGTTGTGTGCAGTCATGCTGTGTGCAGTCACGCTGTGTGCAGTCACGTATGCAGTCACACTGTGCAGTCACGCTGTGTGCAGTCACGCTGTGTGCAGTCACGTATGCAGTCACACTGTGTGCAGTCACGCTGTGTGCAGTCACGCTGTGTGCAGTCACGCTGTGTGCAGTCACGTATGCAGTCACACTGTGTGCAGTCACGCTGTGTTCAGTCACGCTGTGTGAAGTCATGTTGTGTGCAGTCATACTATGTGAAGTCACGCTGTGTGCAGTCATACTGTGTGCAGTCACACTATCTGCAGTCACGCTGTGTGCAGTCACACTGTGTGCAGTCATACTGTGTGCAGTCACGCTGTGTGCAGTCACGCTGTGTGCAGTCACACTGTGTGCAGTCACACTATCTGCAGTCACGCTGTGTGCAGTCACGCTGTGTGCAGTCACGCTGTGTAGTCACACTGTGTGCAGTCACGCTGTGTGTAGTCACACTGTGTGCAGTCACGCTGTGTGCAGTCACGCTGTGTGCAGTCACGCTGTGCAGTCACGCTGTGTGCAGTCACGCTGTGTGCAGTCATGCCATGTGCAGTCACACTGTGTGTAGTCACGCTGTGTGCAGTCACGCTGTGTGCAGTCACGCTGTGTGCAGTCACACTATCTGCAGTCACGCTGTGTGCAGTCACGCTGTGTGCAGTCACACTGTGTGCAGTCATGCCGTGTGCAGTCACGCCGTGTTCCCTGGGATGGGAAAGGCGCTCGGATTCAGGGTTCCTCATGTAATCGGGACAGCCTTCCAGTAGGTGGGGACCAGACACTGGAAGATCTCCCTCCTGTCGGCGTTAATGACTTCTTGTTTAGTGCTGGTAATAAATAGTAGAGTGCTTTAACAAAGCCATATTGCGCTGGCTCTGTCTGGAAATGCCTTTGTTAAGAGACAAAGAGAGCAATTTGCATGTCTCCTTCTCATCTGTGAGTGGTGAGCTCTCTAATGGTCTCACCTTAACTTTCCACTCAGTGGTGAAGCACCTATTAAATGCTGTGAATTGTGTGAGCGTGGTTAGCAAGCCCACGGGGCATCCTCAGGAAGGAAGCAATCCTGCCCGCCTGCAAGCTGCGATCCCACTGCTGCCTCCCCATGCATCTGTTTATGCCTCTGATGCTTACACTGCATTACTGGGCCGACCACTTCTCCGCCATCTCTGCCCCAAGGAGGCCCACGGGACCTCCTGAGCAACTGGGCTGCCAGCTGCCCGGCCAGAGGCGCTGTGCCCGGTTTGGGTCTAGAGATGTGTCTGTTTCCTTGATTCTTTATGACAATCACACAGTAGAAGTAGACGGAGGGGCTAAGAATTTCACTCTCTGGAACATGAACTAGGGAAGGGAAATTTGATTCTTTTCGATTTGTGTCCTGCACCTCCTCAAGATGGCGGCATGTCGCACTGCCAGCACGCACACCAACTCCCTCGCCAACCCCAAGATCTGACAGTGATGCGCAGAGCCAGCTAGGATATTTGCTCCCTGGAGAAATGGCTTTGTAGTTAATTAGCCGTGCTTTGCATTTGTCTGGGTAAACCAGGGTTTCTATGTTTTATTATCCCTGACAAAGAGATTCTGCTTTATTGATGACAGGGGAATCTGGAGGTTGAAGCATGTTGTTCTGATTGAATGTGCCCCAAGCCTCATTAACACCCGCCAGCTGACGGCCCTTCCACCGCCCTGCCAGTACCACGCGGGCTTCGGTCCTGTGTACTGGGTTCAAAATCTATTGTAGATAGAAAACAAACTCATGGTTTGGGATTTATTCTCGGCGCCAGAGTAGACTTTGTCCTCTGGTGAAGCCTCCACATTTTGCTATTCAAGATGAGGAAAGAGGTCCAGAGAGGTGGAGGACAGCACTGAGCATCCAGTATCAGGCTCAGGCCCACACCTGTGTGTCTGTAGTCTCCCTCTCCACTGAAGTAGAACTGTGAGTGTGTGTGTGTATGTGTGTGTGTGTGGCTGTCGGCATTGAATTCAGAGAGGAGGAGGAAGAATGCAGGCAGCATTCCAACGTGGAGTTGTCCAACTTGGAATTGAGTGGCTGCGTGAGCACAGACCACGTGGATTGATTCCAAAAAGGGCAGCGCTGACGGGGTCCTTTGGGAGTGAGGCATGTGAAGGAGCAGGGTGGGGGGAGACATGGGGGCCCTGGGCCCACGGGATGGACGTGGCGATGGTGGCCAGGATGGGGAGGATGCCTGGCCCTGAGGCTGAGGGAGAAATGACTTTCAGAGCCTGAGACACAGTGTCACGCGGCTGGTGCTCTCCAAGGTGGCGAGCCACGCACCATCCTGTCTTGGGCACCAGGAACGTGCGGGTGGAGAGCGACACGCAATGGCGAGGTTCCAGAGGTGGGGGAGGGCCCCGTGTGCACGTGTATGGGCCGGCGTGCACTCGGTGTGTAGGTACCGCCCTGGCTGGTGACAGCTGGCATGTGTGTGCACCGCTCCCCTTCTCGCTAGACCCTAAGCATTGGAAGTCACAGGTTACCCTTATTTATGCTTCATTTTCTGGCCCTTTTTCCAGTCCAGCAAGTGTCACATAAAGTGTTAAATTCTCCACTGAACACTTACCAGTGACCTGGAAGAAGGCTGCTGAACATAGAGTTATGTGTATGTGCGTCTATACAGAGGTGTGTGTGTGTGTGTGTGTGTGTGTGTGTGTGTGTGTGTGTGTGTGTACAGGTAGGTTCACATACATGGGGGCTGTCATCTGCCTGCCAGCCAGCAAACTGGGTTTTCCCCGGTTTCTCCCCTACGGCGAGGTATGGTTTCCACTCATGAGTGGGAGTCTTGCCACGAAGACGGACATGAGTGTGGAATAAGAAGTATCATTAGCACTTGCCGAAGGCTGGCTTGTCACGTTTGCCAGCCTTGTCCATTCTCAGGCTTACTGGGCACCTCCCACCCTCTGCTCTGAGCAGGACCCAGAGCAGGGCGTTGGCAGCCCATGTGTCCAGGGCCTACAAGGACCATGAGCTGCTTTGGGGACCCACAGCGGAGTATGGGGTATGCCCATCGCCACCCACACTTATGGCCCAGGACACTCCGGGGCCTTGGGTGAGGTGGGAACAGAGACTCCAGTCCAAGAGCTGAGCAACACATCGGACCTTCCTGAGCCTCTCAGCCCCAACTGCCTCTCACTCAGAGAGGAGATTCATGACAAGTGTAGAACAAAGCCAAGTGCCTCACACCTCTACTACCAGCTACTCTGGGACTGAGATCTGAGAGCTGCAGTCCCCACCAGCCCAGGCAGAAAAGTTCCCTAGACTTCATCTCTGAAAAGCAGGGCTTGGGTTATGGCTCAACTGGTAGAACACCAGCCAGGCAAGCGCAAGGCCTGGAGTTCTCTCTCTGCAGTACCACCACCAAAGAAAAAGGCTGGACACGAGATGTCCCAGAGTCAAAAGGATGGGATGCGGTCTAGCTCTTATTTTAGGATGTCTGAAAACCTGGCTTGCAAACTTCTCCTGCTTTGTGGGGTAAGAGGATGTGTTTCTGGGTGTTCAAGGAGGAGGTGTTGCAGTCTCCTCTGAAAGGCACAGTGGGAGCGTCACTTGTTTGTGTTCACTTTGCAAGCACGCCGGTGGCTGTTTTCCCACAAAGCGAGGTTCCCTGCACACCACCATCCAAGCAAGTCCCCAGTGGGTGTGAAATCCACACAGAATTGTGGGCCATTAGACAGTTTTATTTCTGCCCCATAAAAATCCTTCAAAACCTGTGGGAGTTTTAACGAGCCAGCGCTCATCCATCCAATCCTTCCCAGCCGAGGGGCCCTGGAGACACAGGGCAGGACAATTAGAGATGTTGTCTCACGCTGCCTGCTTCATTATCTGTGAGTGATGGGCAGTTCAGAGCCTGACCTCCCTCCAGACTGCATCTGTGGGTCTGGTGTGTGTGTATGTGCACATGCGTGTGTGTGTGAGAGAGAGAGAGACGGGAGGATATGTAAATGATGTATAGGCATATAAAAATTCAAGACCAAAACATACATTTCACGTATGGAAGTTTACTTTGCCCTCCATCCCTGGAACTGCCCTCGGATGCCTCCTCTCCTGCCTCCGCGTTTCCTCATAGACCTTGAATGGTCTGAGGTCGGCTGACCTCAAGACGCCGTGCACCCTGTTGTGAACATGAACATGAAGGTGAACAGAGAGGTGAACATGAACATGAAGGTGAGCACGGAGGTGAACGTGAACATGGAGGTCAACATGAACACGAAGGTGAGCATGAACACGGAGGTGAACGTGAACACAACGGTGAACACAAATGTGAATGTGAACACAAAGTGAATGCGAAGGTGAACGTGAACTCGGCTTCAGAATCCCTCTCGGCCTCCTGACCTCCCTCCTCGGCTGTCCTAACGCCTTCTCCATCTCCAAATGAGGGTCCATCGGCCCTTAGACGCTTCTCCTTTTCCCTCACTTACCTCTGATGTGGTGCGCTCCTCCCGGAGACCACTGGCACCCAGAGCCCTGCCCGCTGCAGTCTCGGCGCCATCCTACAGTCTTCTCTGGCACAGCCACTCGCCACCTGAGGATGGGGAGCTGCCCTGGGGCTCACGAGGACCGAGCTGGGGAGAGGCCGGACAGGAAGGAGGGAGAGCACAGAGCAGATTCTGTGAAAGGGCACTGAGTGGCTCATTTGCATGTGCGTGTGTGCCCGTGGGTGCCTCTGTGAACTTGTGGCACCTGTGTTGGACAGAGGGGTAGTTGAAACAGCACAGGTTCCTGTGTGTGGGTACACAGGAAGGAGAGCCCTTCTGTAAACCATATTCCTGTCTTCTCCCAGGAGAGCTGGTGTCCCGTGCCTCCACTGTGAACAGCAGTCCCATTTTAAAGTAATCTGAGCAGAGGGGTGCTATTGTTTCTCACTCACCATTCAGGGCTCCAGCACCAGTCAGGAGCCTGCACAGGCTGCTGAGGTTGTACCAGGGAAGGACCACGAGCCCCTGCTGCTGTGGAGCGAGGCCGGAGGAGTCCCAGGGCTCATCAGATGGCCACGCCGTACACGTCACGCAGGGGCAGACTCCTCACCACACGAGTTGACACCTCCCAGAGCAGGGCTGGGCCACCCTATCCTCCTCTCGGCCGCCTGTGGGGTTCTGGCTGGAGCAGCACCGCTCTGCTTCCCATGGGGCAGAACTGGGATTTGAACTAGAGCTGTACCCTGGCCAGGCAGTGCTTGCCTGCTGAACCACGTCTCCAGCCCCTTCTGGGGCATTGGATACTTTTTTGAGATACGGTCCCTCTTTTCCCCTGGACTACAGCTGGCCTCGAAGCCCAGTATCCCGGCTGGTGGAAGGGCAGGCCCCAGCCCCCATGGCTGTGGTCTGAGATGGGTCCTCATTAAATTTTTGCTAAGAGGAGCCTCGAACCTTGATCCTCCTGGTCTGAGCCTCCCAAACAGTGAGAATCATGAGCCTGAGCCATGGCACCAAACTTCCCTTTCTCTTCAAATGAGCGGAAGTGCACACATTCTCTTTCCCTGAGGCTTTTGGTGGAGGGGCCACGTATACGATGCGAATCTGTAACCTGAGCGGTCACCGAGTCCAGGGAAGTGTGTGGGCACGGGGTGTTCACGCCTGCTCTGCCTGTGATGAACACCACACCAGTCCCGCGTAGCTGGTAGAGCTTGGCAGGGACGGCGAGGACAGCAGGGCTGCCGTTCATGCTAGCAGAGGCGGTGTCTGCATCCTTCCTCGAGGGTCTGACCCGGCGTGGGGTGGAGCACAGGGCCCAGGTATGCGCTCAGGCATCTGCCTTCTCTCCTAGGAGCCCTGGAGCATGCAGCATATCCCTGCGCTCTTCTCAGCCTTCTGCGGGCTCCTGGTCGCTCTGTCCTTCCACCTGAGCCGGCAGAGCAGCGACCCGTCAGTGCTCCTGTGAGTAGCCGCTGCTCCCTCCTGCCGGGGTTCTGGGGGCCGCTCCCGTGCTCTGGGATGGGCGGCCGCCTCCAGGGTTCATCTCCCTTCCGCGGGTGCTGGAGAACAAGCAGACAGCCCATGTGGGCACAGGCTGCGGGGAGCAGGGGAGGTGAAGGGTGAAGGTACAGGCCCCCCCACCCCCCACCGCAGCCGGAGTGAGATGGCTGGTGACACCTGAGTCTGTCCTGCAGCCTTCCCTCGTCCACAGCAGGGCGTCTTCTCTGGGCACACCGAGCCCGGGGCTGCCTGGTTCTAGGAATCACCCGGGCAGGCCAGGCCAGCACCCAGAAAGGAGGCTTACGCTGAGTCCCACTGCCTTCTGTTCCCACTGAGGCCAGCACCCATCTACTCCAGGAGTTCTGTGTCCGAGGTTTTGAATGTGTCTGATCTCTAGCCACTTGGAGGCAGATGCGTTTGGGCACCGGGAATCCCCACTGTGACCGTGCAGTGCACTCCCGCCCTGCAGGGCCACCCAGGCTCTGACTGGACATCCCGCCCTGGGGCTGGGCGCTGTTAGGCACACAAAGGTGAAGCCCTGGGAAAATGAAAAGCAATGCCAGACACCTCCATTAGTGTCTGCTGCCTAGGAGGCTGGTGCGCCCAGGGTGAGTGGCGGATGTCTGGAAGGAAAGCTGTTTTGCGCGATTCTTAGTGTCAGACACAAAGAGAGCGGGTGAGCCACCTTATGCCAGCACCAGAGGAGGCCACAGCTCAGAGGCCTGGCAGGAAGGGAGGAGACCTGGAGCTTTGCTGTGGGCAGCCGGGGCACTGGCACCCCAAGCAGCACTCAAACTCCTCGCCTCCAGGAGCACAAGGTGCAAACGTGACTGATTTTGCACCTGCTGTGCGATGGAGGGAGGAAGAGCCCAGGGCGGCAGCCCCGCTGTGCCAACGCAGCCTTGGCTCCATGTAGTGAAGCCTGGGTTTTCTTCCTTTAGGTCCTTCATCCAGTGCAACATGTTTCCCAAATGTTTACAGCAAAACCTAGAGGAGTCGGCCGCAGACCCCCTCCCGCAGAAGATGAAGGATTCCGTGGTAAGATGCTTGAGTCCCGTGGTCTGTGGTGGGACTGGCTGGGGGCAGGGCTGGCCCAGTACCTTGGGGCTCTTGCTAGTCCAGACCATGAGGAAGAGCAGGGGGGCCCCGGGGCCCAGCCCCAACCTGGCTCTTGGGGACCGTGAGCTGCCTGTCCCCTGAGGATCGTGGTGTGAGCGGGCCAGTCACTGGTGCTGCCCAGGGGTCCCAGGCACCAGTTGGTCTTGTAAGCCACATTTGTTAATTCTGTGGGTTGATGACTGGCACCTTCAGCAGGCAGGCCCTGAGCAAGCAAAAGCTCGTCCCATAGCACAGGAATGCCAGCTGCTCTTCTGATGTGCTCAGCCTCTTCTGCCTCAGCCTCCCGGCTCAGAGCTCTCTCCAAGGTCTCCTGAGGGGTCCCAGACATCTGTTCAGTCCTGGCCCTGGCCCTTGGTTTGGCGGGTGAAAGGGGAGGGAAGGAAGGAAGAAAGGACAGAAGGAAGGAAGAAAGGAAAGAAGGATGGAAGGAAGAAAGGAAGGAAGGAAGGAAGGAAGGAAGAAAGGAAGGAAGGGACTCTGAGGCCTCTTGTGTACCAGGTCCCAGCTCTGGCAGCCTCAAGCATCCTCGGAGCAGACGGGCCTCCCTGCCCGGACTCAGGTTAACACTGTGGAGAGCGATGGCTGTGAGTGTTCCAGGCTCCTGTGCGCAGGAGCACGGAGATCGAGGTGGCTGACAGCTTCCATTCATGCTTTCCTGTGCTTTGTGAGTGGTAGAAGGGTAGCCGCCGGCTGGCATTGATGGTTTCCACAACAGGAATTCTCTTGGGTTTCTTGGGACCCCCCTTCCAGGGCAAGCTCCTAGACAGCACACAAGACCTCTGCCTTTCAGTGTTGTTCTGCTCCCACAAAAGCATTCAGGCTTTCAGGCTTTCTTTCTTGTCACCACAAGGCCACCAAGAGACTGGTCACTGGATATGACTTTATCAGCAGAGAGACATTTAAAATCAGGACCGGGGATGCTGGTGGGGCATGGTATGGAAGCTAGACCAGGTAGAGATCAACTCATGTGCAGCTGGGGCCCTGGCATTCGTTTCAGGAGACCCACGGGGCCGGTCGGGCTGTCCCTCCCCATCCATCTTCCAAACACCATAGCATGGGCCCCCAAAGTCCCCATCCTGGATATCTGAGAAAACTTATGGCCCTTAAGTCTTCCTTGATCTCATGACTGGTGAAGATGCCTCTCTATTTTCTGGTGTATTTGATGTAAAAGTAAGGATTGAATTACAGAGAAATGTGGAATTAGCCACTAGAAGCTGGTAGTGTTTCACTGGGGTAATTGGATCAACGGTGTCCTTAGTTCTTCTCACCTTTGAAACGCCACGTTCACCAGCCTAACTCAGTGGGCGCATTCACTCCTCCTCGAGAGAGGCCCGGGTAGTTAGCGTGTTTTATTGAGAGGATCAGGTTGGTTTGACATGCTAGTGTGCGGCACACGTGTGCGCTGTGCAGCCACCGAGTCGCTCTCCTTGTCTCCGCGGCTTCTCCATCTCTGCCCCTCCTGTGTTCTCTGGTTGTCTTTTCTCTCTCTTCCTACATGTTGCTGCATGTGGACAGGGGCTCGGCCCTTTTACCCAGTGCCCCCCACTGGGTGTCTGGCCAGCTCTCCAGACTTCAGCCAGCAAACCTGAGAGCTACCTCCACCCTGCCCCTGCAGGGCAGGTCGCCCCACACACCCGGAGCCCATTGGCAAAACTTGACAGAGAATAAACGGGTTTGCCTGGCAGACCCCACCCCCACCCCCAGTACTATTTTGTTTGCTTGCTTATTTTGTTTTCACCTTTAAATCTTTAAGTACAAAGGGGTTTTAATTGGTCACGTCAGCTGATAAGCAAGCTTGCTTATCAGCCTTACCTTCCATGGGGCTTCTGAACTCAGGGTAGCAAGTGCTCCATCACTTGAGCCACATACCCAGACCTGTCTGATTCCGCTGGTTTTTATGTTGGGTCTTGGCCTCCAGCTGTGACCTTCCCATGTGGCCGGTGGCCCAGTGATACAGGTGGCAGAGCCAGTGGCGGGCTTTCCATAGGCCTCGCCCGCTCAGCTGTGAGGCCCCTCCTCTGGCACCTGCCCACCACTGTCCTTGGCATGTTCAGACTTGTTTCTTCTTTCTAGGGACCATTCTTGGTTGTTGTTCTTGTTGTGTTTTCTTTGCCAGTTTCTGAGTTTGAATGTAGGGCTTCACTCCTACGTGGCTAGGTAACTTGCTGGCACTCTACAATTTGAGCTATGCATGTTTCCAGCTTAGCTTTTTTGCTAGTTATTTTTTGGAGATAGAGTCTGACAGGCTGTTCTGCTTGGCTGGCTTCAAACTTTTCAGCCTCCCAAGCAGCTGGGATTACAGGTATGAGCCACCTGCACTGGCTTGAAGTCTTTGTTTTTATGTCTAAAACTCAACAATGAGCAGAGACTCGCGTAAAATGAGTTACAGCAGAAGGGGCTTCCTGGTAAACGCTGACCCACAGGCCAGGCCTGACTGGACAGGAAGCCCAACTCATAAAACACCAGGTCCTTTAAAATAGAGTTGTAGGTTTAACATAGTTCACAACACTTCTAAAGGAATTAGATTCACAGCTTTGGCAAATGATTCTAGGGTTTATGTAGAAGAACAGCGGCTAGAAGTTTTAAAAGAACTTGAACAAGAAGGATAAGAGATTTGAGCATCTTACAAAGACTAAATCCTGAGAACAAAGTGTGAGACCTGCGCAAGATTAGGGGATGGGATTAGTGGATCAGAGGAACGCAGAAAAGAGACTCGTCATTTACGTGAATGTCTTATGTGAAAATTAAATGTCACAACCAAGGTTTGATTGTTCGGAGTGTGGGGTTTAAAGGCAGAGGGGGAAAATAAAGAACCTGGTGCGCTAAGCCCTCTGCAGACACCCGTGGGTACCAGCCAGGAGTGAGCTGCGGAAGGTGGGAGGGAGGGGGTCGCATGTGTGGTGGGGACTTTCCACTCTGCAGAGGAAGAGCTATGTTCTGAACAAAGGACCCCAGAAATCCTTCATAAACACAACAACAAAATGCCCAAAGACCAGAGAGCTGTTGGGTGGGAGTTTGATCAACAGAGGACCTAGAGAAGCAGAGCAGATGCCCCTGTCCAGGGTGCCCGGGGTGGGGGGGAGGAGGAAAGGCAAGGCGTGTGCTCTCAGCCCTCACGCTCGGGGCAGCCTGCCTGGGCATGACCAATGGACCACCCACCATCGGCCCTGCCACCCTCCCGGCCACAGTGGTGCAACAAAATTCACCTCCACACAGACAGGCGTGGGGAGAAGCCTGGGCAGGCTGCACCTGTCCGTATGTTTCTACCACAACTTGGCAAAAGTGGATGGATGAGGAACCCCACAGCAGGAGATTAAAGTGGTCCCTGCCTGGCGCACCCAGGGCAGACATGCGAGGGTCTCCTCTAGACCCCCCTGAAACAATTTTCCAAGAGAGAAGAAATGAAAAGCTGCTCAAAGAGACGATTTGCCAGCAGCGGGAGGTCTGCAAGCACTGCAACACCTATGGACAACAGAGAAATTAAAAGCCACCCGGCGAATGTCAAGAGACCTTGCGGGGCTCCTGAGGGCCCAAACAAATGAGGGAACTGAAGTTTAAAAAAAAAACAATGACCAAAGACCCCTGTCCCAGCCGCACGGGGAACTAGACATTCTGAAGAGGGGAGCGGGAGCTATGGGTGAGCAGAAGAACGTTTCCACAAGGCCAGGAGTGGGAAAACATGAACTAGACACGAAGAGATACAGGGACAGCGGGAGATCTGAAACATGTCAGGACTCCAGGAGAGGGCAGGGCAGAGAGGGGAGGGCACGGAGGGATGGAAGGGTGGGGAGGGGGGGAGCGTCAGAGGAGGAGGGGGGCCAGCCTTGGAGCAGGTTCACCCAGCCTGTGTGAGAACCGGCAGGGGAGGTGACCCAACTTCTCTCCTTCCAGAGGGGCGTCCTGAGGTCAGATCTGCTCATCTGCTCCGTGGCCGCTGTCCTCTCCTTCGCAGTCAGCGCGAGCACCGTGTTCCTGTCCTTACGTGTAGGTGGCCATGCCTGCTCGCCCGCTTACCAACAGGCGGGTGCGGGGTGAAGCCAGGGTGAATGCGGGGAGCCAAGGTGTGGGCCGAGGAGCCAGGGTGGAGCCGCGGTAGAGGGGACACACCGTCAGGGGCCTGAGACCAGCTGAGGGCTGACCCCCACTCTGTTTTGGTGGTACTGGGGTTTGCACTCAGGGCCTCATGCTTGCTAGGCAAGTACTCTACCACTTGAGCCATGTTCCACGCTCTATGACTAGCTTCTAAAAGATGGGGCAAGGCCACATGTATCCCTTGGGGCACCCCTCCTCTGCCTCCCAGCCTCCTCCCCTTCCCCCCTCCCCAGCCTCCCCTTCCTGGCTTGGCCTCCCACCTCTAGTGTGTAATGAGGTCCCTGTTTCCCCGCAGCCATTCCTCAGCGTGGTGCTGTTTGCCCTGGCAGGCGCTGTGGGACTCATCACCCACCATCTGCTGCCCCAGCTCCGCAAGCACCACCCCTGGCTGTGGGTATCACACCCCATCCTGAGGAGCAGGGAGCACCGGCCGCAGGAGCCCACAGGTCAGTGCTGCCGTCGCGGAGGAGGGCTCAGGGTGCGCTTCGCCGTGGCCACGGGTCCTGAGTGTCGTCCTCCCACAATAGAGAAAGGTGCACGTGTGCCTTGGAGTCCAGAATGTTCTTCCAGACACACTCACCAGTCAGAATAAGAGAGCTCCAGTGTAGCCAGCTAGACGTACTGTTGGTTAAAATATCCATTGGTCACTGGTGTGGCCAGAACTTTAAAGGAGGTGATGTCCCTTGTGCTTGGAGCCCACGCTTCCGGCTCGCACTGAGCTGGGGTTAAAGAGCTCCATGCCCTGGCCCGGCAGAAGGTGGTCTGGCGCGGGCCATGGAGCCCATCTCCAGGCAGCCCGGGGGCTTCAGTCACAGACTGCTCGGAAACCTGGATGGTAGGTGAGGAAAGGGTCCTGGCCACGGCCTCACAGGGTGGGCATGGAGCCTGCCATGCCAGCGAGAGCCCGGCCCAAGCACAGGCCACAGGCTGCTGCCCTAGTGCTGCACAAGTTCAGGGGCTCCTCATGTGGGGTTCTCAGCACTACACCCCGGCAGGACGCCAGGCTCTGGGAAGCAGTGGCTGGAGAGGGGCTCTGCAGGGACGCAGGCCCTGGATGATTCTGTGCATAAATTCCCCCTGCAGGGCCACGAGCCCTGCCCAATGTAATTCTTTGGGAAGACTGAGTTCTGTGGGAGTCGTGGAGTGTTGGGGAGTTACCACAGAGGTTTATTTGGGGAGGGGGGACTATTGTTTTGAGGTCCTTGGTGAATCGTTGGTAGAGGTTTGAGGTAAGAAGCTTGAACTCTGAGAACAGGAGTCCACCATTGGTGTCTTTATCCAAATGTGTATCTGCTCCTAGAACTGGAGGAGGCCTGTGTCTGCACCCAGAGTTCCCCTGTACCTGCCCCTCTGACCTGGGTGCGCCAGGACCCGTGTTGGTGTCTGCCCATCTCTCCTGCAGCTGTCCTGCACCTGCGCTGTGCCTCTGCCTCCATCCTGCCCCAGACCCGGCCCGGCCCTCCCCCACCGGGGGCTCTTCCCCCAAAACCTACCAGAGCCCAGTTTATTTTTTTTTATTTTTTATTTTTTTGGGTCCGGTCGTGGGGCCTGAACTCTGGGCCTGGGCACTGTCCCTCAGCTCTTCAGCTCAAGACTAGCACTCTACCACTTGAGCCACAGCATCACTTCCGACTTTTTTTCTTTTTGCTTATGTGGTGCTGAGGAATCGAACCCAGGGCCTCATGCATTCAAGGCAAGCGCTCTACCACTGAGCCACCTTCCCAGCCCCCCCCCAGTTTAAATGGAAATCATCTCACTACTCCAGGCCTGCCTGGTCTTTTCAACGCAAGTGGGTGTGTTTGTGCTACTGAGCATTTTGATGCGTAGGTCTGTTATTTGTTTAAAACAAGATTCACACTGAGAAGATGGGAGGCAGGAGGCCAGCCCTGCTGGACAGGATTCACGCCGAGGAGGTGGGGGGCTGGCTGTGATGGACAGGTGTGTGTGTGTGGTTTCCAGACTAAAAGCTGGGACGTGGGGTTCTTTGACAGTGAGGCAGCTGTGTGTGCCTGAGCTCTGAGGACCCTAGACCCACATGCACTTCCTCAGCTGACCCCTGCTGCAAATGAGCAAAAAGAACAGGTTACCAGATGTGTTTTACCTGCGACAAGGCTCCATCTCAAAGGCCGGGCCTTGTCTGTCGCAGCAAGTGAGGAGGTTGGATTGTGTTTTCCCATGGATCCTCGGGGTCTCATAATAACTGACTTCCGGAAATTTGGGGGAAATGAAGTGATCTGCTCTTACCGAAACAGCATCTCTTGGTGGAGTCACTAAGAGACAAAGAGCGAGTATGTTTTTGTAGTTTACTCATTTACTTCTTTGCACACTCCAACGATGCTGATGAATATGCTTTCCATTCATCCAAAAATAATTATTGAGTCGGGTGTGGTGGCTCAGGCTGGAGGCTGAACACAGGAGGCTTACAGCTTGAGGCCACTCTCCTCCACTAGTTGTTAAGCATGATGGCGCATGTTTGGCATCCCAACCACAGGCGACACATAAGCAGGAAGACGCAGCCACAGCCAACCTGAGCACAACTGCAAAACCCTCTCAGGATCAAGCAAAGCCAAAACAAAAGGAGTAGAGTTCTGGCCTAGCAAGAATGAAGCCCCAAGTTCAGTCCCCCCATTACAGTTTGAACCCCACAACTAATGACTGAGTTCCGAAGGGTCACCTGGTCCCAGCCTGGGTGACCTGGAGATGAGGACTGAGATGTGGATGCAGCAGATAAACGGGGAGCCGGGGAGCCGGGGAACCGAGCACCTGGATGTGGGGTGCAGCCTGCACTCTACCCACAGGGTAGAGAGGCCAGAGGCCCCGGAGAGAAACTCACAGCCAACCCCATCCTCTTGCTTGTGTATGGCAGCTGGATTCGAGTAATTTAGCGCGGAGTTAATATCCAGTGCTCAGTAAATGTCACCCAAATGGACAGACGTGTGCTCAGTGGGCACACAGTCTGTGGAGAGTGCTCAGCAGCTTGCTGCTTGCCGAAAGGTTTATGCCCTAATTTTATGGTGCGCTGGAAATAATGAATAAAGGATCATATAAATTATAAAATGCATCCACCGAAGCTCTCATTTAAATGGTAATTTAAAAAAAATTACCAGTTCACTAATGAGTCCCAAATTTGTAATTCTGCAATGAGATTTACTTTGTAGCATCGCCAACCTCTTTGCATTTGCAGATGACTGACTAACTGCTGTGTGGAGTAGAAACTGCTCTCCTCCCTATCCCAAGCATCTCTCATCTAAATCAAGGGAGGGTTTACTGTGAGGAAAGCTAAAGGCCCTGTTAGCCAAGCCCAGCCCCTCCTTCCTCCCTCCTCTGAGTCTCCTCTTGGGGATGATGGGGGGGGGGGGGGGGAAGGATCTCTACGATCAGTTCTGACTTTGGATAATTCTTCCAAATAACCATCCTGTGCATTCCTGCCAGCTCCCTGCAGGACAGAGGGACTCCTCTCCCTCCTTTCCCTGTGTGCTCACGAGCCTTTCACTCTTCCTTCCAGTACAGTTTTATTTTTGGTTGTTTGGTTGCTTTTGTGCTGGTTTTGAACTCAGAGCCCGGGGGCTGAGCCTGAGTTTTTTGCTCAGGGCTAGCACTCTACCACCTGAACCATATCTCCACTTCAGCTTTTTGTTGACTAATTGGAGATAAGAAGAGTCTCATGGACTTTCCTGCCTGGGCTGGCTTTGAACTGTGATCCTCAGATCCCAGCCTCCTTGGTAGACAGGATGACAGGTGTGAGCAATTGCCGGTGTGTCTCCTCTGGCTCCCCCCCCCACCTCCCGCCCTCCCCTCTCCCAGCAATATGAAGAACCTTCTATTCCTAAAAAATGAAAAACAAAATCTGAGGAGTCATTTGGGGAGGTAGACTGCTGTTTAAAAAATGTGTCAAATGAAAATTTAAAGAGGTTTAAAAAAAAGGGAAAGAAGAAAGAAAAAAAGCCACCCGGGCCGCCTGCAATTGAACACTGGCAGAGTAACCTCACCTTGGTCCGGGGGAGGAGAATGGAACTCTGCTCAGCGTGACCCAGTGTGGCAGCCTGCGCCGCGGGCACACGGGGGCTCTGCAGCGCTCGCCCCCATCGCCCGCTGTTTTTGAGAAGTTCACCAAATGTGGCTATTCAGGGGAGGAGAGGCACAGTCAGGGCCCAGAAGCAGGGCTCACACTCAGGCTGCTGGTTTGGGAAGTGAGGCCTCTTTGCAGGAAACAAACAAGGGCAGGTACCAAGTTAAAGGAAGGAGCTCCACAGCCCAGCCCCTGCCCCGAGGGCACAGACGGGGTGTGCCAACGACCGGGAGAGTTCATTCCACCCAGCAGCAGGCTCGGGTGCTGGATGAGCTGGTGAGAGGGCCCGAGCGATGCCCACTTGAAATGAGCCGCCGCCCTGTGAAGCAGGAAACTCTCCCCTTGAATCTTGAATTGGAGGAGTTCTTCTTCCTTAAGCGAAAACCATCCAAGGGGCTTTTTTAAATCATCGAGAAAGACCTATTTTAGTCGCATAAGCATCTAAATGAAATACGACTGAAAACTCTTCTTTCAGCAGAGCCAGAGCCTCCGGTCGTCAGGACACGTCTATAAACTTGCAAATGGCATTGTTACTTTGCATTCTGGGGCTCAAGGGCCTCATTTTCCTGGGAAGCAGAGATAACAATGTCTTTTTATGGTGTCTGTGCACTATCAGGATAGGTTCTCTCTTTAACTTTCATGGGTGTGGGCGCAGGGACACTTCAGGGACCTAGAAAGCGAATCTTTTATGTGTTATTGCTTCTGTAAGCACTCTTTTGATGAGCCTCCCAAAGCTGTCCCAAAAGAAAGGATTAAGTGTGATCTTCATGAGCTCACAACTCCAGACATACGTTTCTGTCTCAGCTTCTGGTTTTCATTTCTTCTCAGTTCCTTTACCTGGAGACCAAAGGGTTTCAGTGGAATAAGTTCCTGAGGTCGGTAGAAGGAAACTAAGATACATAAGAATCCTGCCTGACCCCTGCTTCAGTGGGTCGCATGAGAGGCCCATCCCTCCTGACGTCTGGCATAGACTGTGGGTGCTTGTTGCTGAGTACACGTGAGGCCTGGCCTGCTGCCACCTCTACGCCATCCACTCAGGCATTCTGCACCCATGAGGGTGACACCGGGCCATCTACTCCAGATCTAGATGTCAGCCCTGGCAACTTTATTTCCCTTGTAGCTTCCTGCTGATGAGTGTGCTTCAGCCTGGGTCTTGCTCAGTCTGTGTGAGCGGTGGAGGGTGCCCGAGGTTTTGCTTATTTTTGTTGTACTGAGGGTCGAACCAGGGCCTCATGGAAATACTCTACCACTCTGATCTACAGCTCCAGCCTTTGCCTCTCTGTTGTGTTTTGCATCGCTGCCTTGGCTTAGGCTGACTCAAACTTGTCATCCTCCAGTCTCTGCTGGATCCTAGCTAGAGCCCACGTATCTGGGATTACAGATGTGCATCACGGTGCTCACCCACATGACCCTACGGGTTCTACCAATGACTCGAGGTAGTAAAGTAACTTAGGAATGAACGGCTGGTTTTAGCTCTGTAGTTCTATTTTCCTCGAGATGTCTGGTGCTGAGCCACTTAGACAGTCTCCCTGCTTTGCTTCTGTTGGAAACCAGAGATGGCCTCTGCCATCCTCTGTCTAAGTGGTCCTGCGATGTCAGACGCAGCTCCTCTGCACTCTGCTTACACGGCCAGGGAACGCGGTTCTGTTCTTCTCAGGCTGATGCCCAGGGCTGCAGACGTCACAGCCAGCTCCAGGCCGGGCAAGGGCAGCCTTCAATCTCTGGAGCACACACACAGAGTCTCAGGATTGAAGGCTCAGGGAATGGAGCATGGTGCCGTGGGGCATCTGTAGAGCCAGCAGCATGGCACGTGGCAGGTGGCGGGGTGGCTGGAGGGCTCAGAGCTGGCTGCTGCTCCCATTCCCACTGATTCTCGTTGCTTTGTGTCTCTGGGGTGAAGCTGGCTCTGTGGACACCATGGGGTCTGCGCCCTCCACCTTGGCTCATCTCCACCTGCTGAGGAACCTCAAGCTCCTACAGGGCAAATGACCAGCGTGTGAAAACCCAGCTGGGCTCCCAGCCCGACTCTGTACTGCATCCCACGGCGCCATGTCGATGGGTTGTTCCCCGTGGGTGTTTTAGCAGCGCAGTGGAGGAGAAGGAGGAGTCTCTCTTCCGTGTATGTTTTGTTTGCTTTGATGGGGATCTCGCCAGGGTTGAATTCTTCCTCTGAAGGCTGGGGTTGTATGCTCTTCCTCTGAGGGGCCAGGAGTGCTGGAGCCCAGCCAGGCCCCCTGTGGTGCTCTTATCTGACTGGTGAGCTTAGAAACTGAGAGCAGCAGGAGATGACTTCACACAGAAACCCAGCTGTGCCCAGCGTGCCTCACAAGATGTGAAATAGGAGACAGGGAGCTTTGTCATTGAAAATCAGTTATGCGGGACTCTCCTGCACCGCCCCCGTTCATCCTCACTGAGTTTAACCATCCAGAGCTTTCCCAACTGCTAACAATCCTAAGGCCACAGATACCTGGTGCTGCCCCTGCCTTCATGCCCGGAGAGCATTCCGCTGGGATGGCCGGGGCTCCCTGGAAACACTAAACCAGGAAAGACTGTTGGCAAGTGGGAAGATTCATATTTAGATGAACAGCTATTCTGCTCATTGCCATCACAGGTCCTAAAGACAAAGGCTTCGCCTTGCAGGTTGATGTTTCCAAGACATAATGTAGTTTTCCCTGTCATGGGGCGGGGTGTGTGTGTGTGGGATGTAGTGTGTTCAAGACCTGGCAGAGTGTGTGCACACCCCGACCCGCACAGGGTGGAGCGGCTGGCGGGGCCCGCCTGGGTGTGCATTGCTTACGGACAAGCACAGAGCCATTGGCACTTGCTCCTCTGCGCCTTCTTCAGGTGCTGTCCATTCCAGGGAGGGTGGAGTCAACCCGTGCCAGTCCCAGAGCCTCCGGCACAGCTCTGGGAAGGGTGGTGCCGACCTGTGCTCCCGGTGTGTTGGCTCCTGGGACCCTGTGTGCCCAGCAGCCACTGGCAGCCGCCCTCTTGTGTCAGGGCAGAGCACACCTGTCCTCTCAGCTACATGGGAAGTACAAATAGGAGGATCACGGTCCAGGAAGGGTTTGGCAAAAGCATGAGACTCTATTCAGAAGTAATGAAAGCAAAAAGGGGTCAGGGCATGGCCAAGTGGTAGCGTCCCTGCCTGCCAAGTGCAAGGCCCCAAGTTCAAGACCTGATGCATCCAAAGAAACAGACAAAAAGCTTCAGGCTCACCATCTACAATAATGTTTCCTCAGCCTTGCCCCTTACCTGTGCTTTCAGCTCTGCATGGGAAGAGCTGATTTTGGCTGACTCCGTGGCTTGGTACATGCACGGTTGAATTGATACACAACCATTGAATACGACCAAGAATGTATGAGGCAGAAGTTGGGTGCCAGTGGCTCACACCTACGTCTAAGCTGCTCAGAAGGCTGAGATCAAGAGATTCACAGATCAAAGGCCATCCCACAAAGAGTTCTATGAAACTCTGTCTCCAAAATAACCAGAACAAAGCTGGGCCAGAGACCTGTCTCATGCCGTAGAGCACCAACCCAGCAAGCATAAACCCCATTGCTTCCATAAGAAGGAAGAGGGGAGAAGGAGGAAGGAGGAGGAGGAGGTCTGCAAAGGCTCACGGCCGTGTTTTCAGCATGTTGTATGTGCAGGGCCTGAGATGAGCTCTGGGGGGAGGATTTATGTTAGAGTCAGGAGAGCCGAGAAGGAACTCACAGCGGCATACATAACTTCGGGGTTGCAGAGGAAACCAAAGGAAATGAAAAAAATAATGAAGAGGATAAAGGACAAGCCCATAGGCCAAGGATGGAGATGAGAAGTCTGCAGAGAAAATGGAAGAAGTGAGTGGGAAGGACTTGAGGCTGGGCAGGAGCCGGCAGATGGGCCAGCGGAGAGTGAAGCAGCTCCGAGGGCCTGAAATGTTCTGGGCCTCAGAATGGTGCCCCAGGTAGACTGGGGCAGGGCAGTTACTTGGCCTGACAGTGTGTCCTGGGCAGGAATAGCCACAGAAGCTCAGGGGCAGAGGTCGGGCAGTACATAGGAGACACACAAAGGGGGCTGTCCACTCTCACGAAGCTATCCAAAGTGGGACGTGAGCTCTGTGAGGAGAGGTAGGAGGAAGGGGTGTGCTTCACCTGCTCCACACAGGACAGACTGGACAGAGCCAGTGGGCAGAGAGTGAGCACTGGGTCAAGGTGGCAGAGTGCTTGGGACCCAGGGTCCAGGGGGAGAATCAGCCTCAGGAGCACAAAGTGGCCGCAGGTGATTTTGTAATCAGGGCTAAAGTCATTTCCTTGGAAGGAGTGGAGGAATCTTGAGGATTTGATTTCTTAGCTTTCATGTACTGCCATAAAAGGTTATAGCTAGTCTGTCTGTAAAACATGTAACACGCCTTGACTTCATTAATTATATATATAAACTCATTCATTATGGAATAGCACATTTCCAGACCTGCCCTAGGAGACATTGCACACTGTCTATTAAGAAAATCCAAGGAGAATTTCTGCCCACCTCCAAGATACCCCAGGCAGCACCCCTGACCTCCTGTGGCCTGAAAGCTCTTCCACATAGCCTCCATGTGTGTGACTCCCTTGTGCTCACGAGTTCTTCTCAAGTAAGGTTTTCCAGGGTAGATTCTGAGTTATAAAGATAATACATTCTTATTTGAAAAATAAGTCAAAGAAGAAACACCAGTTTCCAGTTTAATATGAGTACGCACCTGTGTGCACTTGTTACTTCCTGCAGTCCCGTACCTGAAATCCCCGGGAGCAGGTGGCTTATCTCTCATCCCAGGTGAGAGACAGGGAGGGGACAGCCTGTGACACAGAGTGACAGCTTCTCCCATGGAGTTCTTCTGTTGCACCCCAAGCCAAAGGAATGGAGAGCTATGTGAAAGCCACATAATTCTCTCTCTCTGTATGTATGCCTATGTTTACATATACATACATGCAGACATACACATACATATATACATACATACATGTACATATGTACACATAGATACATGCACACATGCATAACGATAGATAGATCGATCGATCGATAGATAGATAGAGCTGTGAACTTTGGGAGATGACTGATAGTTGGATCTGGGGATACAGTTTCCTCTTTTTGATTCTGGAAGGGAGGTGGGGTCTCCACTGACCTTGGCACACGTGGGCTCTGTCTCCTGTGGAGAAGGCCGAGCCACACAGACAAGACAGTGGGCCTGCCTGTGCTCCCTTCCCTGAGGCAGAGGCAGAGGACCCCAGAGCAGAGTCAGGGAGGGCATGGGCCATGGTCTGTGCTGTGAGCAGTCCCACCAGCCCCCATCCTTCCCTGGAGGGACAAGCTAGCCCATGCGAGCGAGGTGGGGACTGTGTGCACTGTCTACTTTACCATCGTCCACCCTGGGCACAGGGCTGGGGCCGTTTCTCTCGGTAGCAGCCTCACGGGACAGCTCAGAAAGACAAGTCAGAAGTTCAGGGTCCCCCTGAATGCCATGCAGCCTGGGCTGGCTGTGAACTCTGGTCCTTCGTGGGAGCAGAAGCTCCCGGGGGACCTCAAGTTCTCTTGCTGCTCTGATGGCTCAGACAGGTGTCACAGGTTTTAGTGATGAGTGTTTGGGGACCAGCCTTTTCTGTTTGTGTGCATTGTCCCAGGCTGCGGTTGAATCTAAGGAGGGAAAAGAGACAGAAAAGAAGCCAGCCCCAGCCTCGGCCATCACCGTGAGCCAAAAAGTAGCCACTGGACTCTCTTCCTGTTCTCTGTCCTTGTCCTCCTCCCTCTCCACTGCAATTGATGGCTGCTGTGATGTCATGATGGTGCAGGCCGGCTCGTGTCATTTTATCTGAGGTCACTTGACTGAAAACTAGGGCACTGGCTTGTGTCACTGTGTGACAGCATAGGAGCAAATCCGTGGCCTGGTGGGTGTCAGTCTGGAGTCTGGGGTTCTCCCCCCACTGCCCCGCCCTGCAGCTTGGATGGGGGGCAATGTCTTTATTGTTGTCTCTACTCAAGGAAAAGAGCCTCGTCAGAGACGGTTCTGCCTGGATGTTTGTTTCTTTCAGAGGTAACCCGTTTGATGTGGTTTGAGAGACTCTACGTCTGGCTTCAGTGTTTTGAGAAGTACATCTTATATCCAGCAATAACTCTGAACGGCCTCACCCTCAACGCCTTCTCCATAAGCAATCACCGGAGACTCGGCACCCAGTAAGTGGACCCGTGGCTCTTTCTCCTAGCGATTCGCACTATAATATATTCTCTCTGCAGGCTGCAAAAGAAATCAACCCACCTCCACTCACCTTAGGGTGGCAGAGCCAGGCTCAGTGGTTTCTGCCTCCAGCGGTGACAGCAGATTATAGGGAGACTGGGTGTGGAAGAAGTGCATGAGTAACAATCAGAAGATCTGGAAACGCTGGTGCCGGAATGCAGCCGCCAGCCCCACGGCCAGCACAGCCCCATGGGATCCCACTTCCCTCTACTCTCCTGGGGCTATGCTTCATGAACTGCTTCGCACCATTCTGTTTAGCAAATGCTCCACCATCTTGCGTATGGGAGAGGGGTGGTTCACGCTGCCCTCTGCGTGGATGAGGAGGAGCTTCGTTTAATCTGAACACTGGAGCCCCAGAGGCTACCTGCCACCAAGTCAACCGCATGTGGGTAGAGCCTTCACCATGCCCCTCAGTCACCACCTCCACGTTGTCAAACTTATTCTGAACGCACACATGGAAATCTTGCCGTCAGTTCGAGCTGAGAGTGGCCGGTGTGGGAGGAGGGCGTCTGAAGAGGCCCTTGCCCGGGCCTGCCTGTCAGCCATGTTGTGCCACATTGCCCGTGTGATGCCTCGTGGCCAAGCACCACTTGGGTCAGCCCGAGCGCTCAATCCCATGCGTACTGGCTGGAGCTTGCTGCTGCTTTTCTTGGGGTGCAATGAGGATGCATGAATTCGTATTTGCCAAAGACAGAGCAAGCGGCCCTGGGGTGTTCTAATGTTCTGTTGGGCTTCGAGCACACATGGACTGACCGGTGGCCTCTCTGAGAAGATCCTGGCACACAACGCAGACATTGACTGCCCCGTGGCCTCTCTGCCTCTCGGGGACTGTCATCCTTCCTGTGTGCTTGGACCGGGGTACAGATTCTGTGCTCCTTGGTGCAGCCCTCCGATCAAGGAAGAAAGCTTGTAAAGGGGGGTAAAGTGGGTGGTGGCCCCTGGGCCAGCTGCACAGCGGAGGGGCAGCGGCAGCCACTCCAGGAGGCCACTCTGCGTGTGGAATGCACATTCTCAGGCCTGGATTTCCCAGTGACTAACTCAGAGTGAGTCAGGTCCTGGGCAGACAAGTAAACCGGGTGGTATAAGGCACTGGACAACAGTGGAGCCCAGAGCAAGGAGCTGAAGAATTCAAAGTCCCCACCCAGCCTCAGGATGAGGGTGTTGCAGGCTGAGTAGCCTGCAAGTTGAGGCTCAGCTGTTGGAGAAGATGGCTGCACAAACTGTACCTCCCAGAGAGCGCCAGACAGAGGGAGCAGACCCTCTGTCCCTTGCAGTCTCTCTAGACACCAACGTCAAAAAGAAGCACCTCGCTATCCTCAGCTACCAGATGGTACCGTCGTGAGCAGGTCCCTTCTGAGATATCTCAGGGCAGAATTAAAACAACCCCAAGGTCACAGCAGCCCACCAGCGGGGCCTGCTCAGCGCTCCAAGGCCACGTGTATACTCGGGACCTGTTCAGTGCTGCAAGGCCATGTATACACTCAGGACCTGCTCAGCACTCCAAGGCCGTGTGTACACTCCCCATGGCCCTTTCTGAACTGGATAATCCAAGGCCTCTCCTGAAAATGACTTCTAGACAGTCAGCAATGAGCTCCTCAGCACCGGCTCTGCTTCTTACTCGGCCTTCCACTACACACCCTGTGCACGCAGAGGTACCTTGGGTGGGGAGTGGTGTAGGGGGTGGAAAATGCCTGCCACTGTGACACTTTCTCAGAGGATTGCATTTCCTGCCTGGTCCCTGCCTGCGTCTTGAGCCATTGTGTTCACTGACAGCCACCGAGAGGACCTTCAGCTAAGCACAAGTAGACCTGGTACCATCGGCAGCAGCCATGACAGTGCAGAGCCTTGCAAGGCCCGCTCTCAGTCCTGAAGATCTTCCACAGTTGTAGCCTGTCATCACCCATGAACTAATGAAGTCTTCATGCTCATGGACAGCAGAAAGCTAGATCTGCCTCATTTGGACTTTGCCTAAAAAACCCAGGACACAGCAGTCTGCCCCGGAAGCCCAGGTCTCCCATTGCTGGGTTCCCTTGGCGGCTGTGGCTGTCCCTCGAGGGTCTTCGTGCTCTGGGCAGCTGTAGAGGCAGCTGTCACGGAGCCGTGATGTCACAGGCACCATCATAGAGGAAGTGGTTCCCGGAAAAGGTGGCAGCCAACCCAGCCTCGCCAGCCTCCCACAGGAAGGGGCATTCCGCACTATGGCCAGCTGACTGTGTCCACGTGGAGCCAGGCCAGGTCCTGAGGTCAGCCTCATGTCACGGCCCCTCCTCAGCCAGCGCATCCTGAGGCAGAGTAGGAGCAAGCAGAGTTCCGGCACAATGCAGACCCCAGGTCAGGTGGAGGTGGACGGACTGCCAATGTTAGGGCTTTCTGGTGATAAGATTGACAGCTTTGTACCTGGAAATTGTATCCTCACGTAGCTCCATACCACACTTTAATAAATGCCTTGTGCGCAGCCTCCGGGTCACAGCTTGATTGCCACCTCTGACAATCAAATCCCCTCTCCTTGCAGCTCTGAAGGACAGAATCAATTATTGTCAGTCACACTGCTCCCACCGGAGCCCTTCTCCAGCCCTTCTCCTTATGCATCCTAGAATAAGATGCCGCCTCTGACGAGAGTCTAGAGCAGAGGCAGAGGCCTGAGCATGCGGTGGTGAGTCACCGGCCTCTGCGCCCCCATGACCTCCCTCCCTTCTTCCCCAACAGCTGGGACATTTTCCTGATGATCATCGCCGGCATGAAACTGCTGCGAACTTCCTTCTGCAACCCGGTCCACCAGTTCATCAACCTGAGCTTCACCGCCATCTTCTTCCACTTTGACTACAAAGACACTTCCGAGGGCTTCTTGTTGGATTTCTTCATGGTGTCCATTTTATTCAGCAAGGCAAGTTCAGTGGTCATTTTCTTCATTTTCTAACACGAGAAAGAGGCATTTCTCATCCCCTGTGTTAACGGTTGAAAATGGATGCATAAGAGGAAATGTGTGTAGGCTGCACGTATATGTTACAGTCAGGATGCTCTCCACTGAAGACTGGCAGGCAGATTTATGTAGTCCCCCTTTTATTTTGCCTTGAGGTGACATCTGTGGCCTGGCACCTGGCAGCTGTGCTCCTTGGGTGGTTTCATTTCCTTAGTTCATCTCAAGCTAAAGTTCATCTGTTTGAAAGTAGGCCATGAGCCCTTCCAGCTACGGGTCACTCAGACAAACAGGTAGAGACGGTGCCTGGGCCTGAGACAGACAGGGCATGTGGCCGTCCCTCCCTTCTGGGGCGCACTCTGACCACACAGCCTAGGTTTGTAGATGGGAAGGGGGGAACGTGGACGACTTCCGGTGAGTCTGCTCTGTGGTGGCTCCTTCTTCTTCCTTGTTTGCCCCTCAGATTATGTCCTTGTGGCATCACTGGGTTCTCGCCCAAGCCTGACCTGATCAACACGTGGCCCTCAGGCCATGATTTGATATTTTACGTCTGCCCCCCCTCCCCCATTTAATTTTTGTCACTTCTTCCTGAATTATGTTCACCAATTTTTGTCCAAACTTCTCCTCCACCCCCATTGGCTTTCTCTTTGATTTTTTTGGTCACTAAATGGGAAGTCTGTTAAAGCACCATCACAGACAGCAGGTCCTCTCTCTTCCTCTGGACAAGAATGGATTTCTCAGACCCTGGCCTGGTCACCGGCCCACGCTGTTTTCCTATGTGTCTGGGTGTCTTGGTTCTGAGTGATCTGTCTCACTTCCTACCTACTCAACTCTCCGGCTTCACTGTGCGCTGATTCCTCTTCCCTCCCATAATGAGAGTAGGATTGCACATGCCCACTCTCCTCTGACGAGCATTATGAATCCCACCACGGTGAACCCAGTCCTTCTGGAACCTCAGTTTGCTGTGAAATGGAAAACAGCAATGCCTATCCCTCCCCAGTATGGAGAGAGCTCACTGATATGACTGTAAATAAATATGAAAGTGGCGTGCCACAGCAGAGGGCATTCCGGGCCTGCCCGGCCCCGAGACTCCAGCCTGCCCCAGTCTGAGACAGAGCATACTGGCCCTGCCCCAAGAGTCTCAGGCAGGAGACACCATCCAAGGGAAGTCAGCCTGGCGCTCTTCCCACACCTTCCGTCCCTTGGTCCTGTCATCTCTCCTCCATCCTCCAAGCTCTTCTTTTCCCCTAAGTAGAACAGTGACACGCTGGCCACATCCCACTGTGTCTTGGGTGGCGGAGGCCCAGGAGGGTGTGTGCTTGGGGATGCTGTTTATCAGGAGGGTGTGTGGAGTGGGTGTTGTTTGTAACTGGACCATAGGTGGCATAAGCCTTCTCACTCATTCCCCTGGCCCATGGGCTGTGGGAAGCCAGCCTTCCTGGACAATCTCAGCACCTTTAGTTGGAAGAGGATGCAAAAGTATGGCCTGAAAACTTCCCTCCCTCCGACGACTTTGCCGCATGTTAGAACACGTTCGGCACCACATTCTGCAGGCCATTCGTTCAACACAGAGCCCTGCTTTTGCCATTTAGCAAATTAAAATTAATGGAGAGGGTGTTTGATGAATAATTGCACAGGACCGTGTTCTGGGGGCTGTGGTTCAAGTTCAGGCGCTGGGAACATTTCCAAATGGCATTTCCCTGTATTCTGTGAGAGCAGATGAGAGCAGTTGTACAAAAAGCACAGCCACTCTTTTCTTATTGTTAAGGAATACATGCTTTTAGGAAGGTATTTGTCCAAAATACCTTGTCCAAAAGAGTAAGTGCTCACTTGGTGAGCGTACCTTGGTGGGGCTGTGCCGGGGGGGGCACAGGGAAGGGAAGACAGCAAACCCACCCATCTGGCTCTTCCCAGAACAGGGCACTGTTCTGGGGTCTGGTTTCCTTCCACTCACTTCCTGTCACTGTGTCAGAGTGGGCTTATCCATTGTTGGTCCTTTCCAGCCCCCTGGGCCCTCCAGCCGGGCCAGCCCACATCGGGCTCTACACCCAGGGAGGACCGGCTGTCCTCACCGTCATCCAGACCTCCACTCGCACTCTCCGTGCAAGGCTGCATGGAGAAGTGGGGCAGGAACCAGAGAGATGTGAAGAGTTGACCCCAGGGCCTTGAGCAGCAGAGGCCAGTCCCTCCTTCCCTCCCTCCCTCCATCCCTCCCTCCATCCCTCCCTCTCTTCAGTTGTTGGTGCTAGGGTTTGAATCTAAGCCTTGCGCTTGCTAGGCAGGTACTCTACCACTTGAATCACAGTCCCCAGGTCTCTTCACTGTGGTTCTATTTTCAGACAGGGTCTTGTGCTTTTGCCCAGATCAGCCTTAGACAATGATCTTCCTGTTTCTACCTCCGAAGTAGCTGGGATTTCAGGCACAGGCCACCATGCCTGGCTTAGCAGAGGCTTCTTCCTAAGCCCCTGTTTTATTGTTCTCAATATTCACGAGCCAAAGGAGGCATAGAGAGACACAGGGAAGGATACCTGGGGCCGGGGCTGCCATTAGAGCACACAAGTGCTGGATCCGGGACCCCTGGACATCTGATCACTAGATGCACAATGCAAGTTGCTGTGCTAAGCAAAAATAAAAATAAAAAAGTAATAGATTCATTTAATGACAGTGCAGTGAAGCTGGGCTTTGCAGCTGCAGATGAGGGCTGCTGCCGGATCTCAGCATTGGCCTGACCCACGTCCCAGCTTTTGTAAGGTAGTCTCATACCAGCCGTCCTCTGCAGACCCCACAGAGCAACCTTCCACAGCCTGCGGTCCATTCTTGGGGCATCTGGACATCACTCTTCACCGAAGCTACCCTGTCTTCTGCTTGTGCAGTTTATCTATGTGTGCTACAGGACAAGTTGTCAGTAACAAAGCCAGGACCTCTGGGCAGTGAGGAGATGGCTTCCAGGGCAGAAGTACTTGGTCTGAGGGCAGAGAGGCCAGGGTGCCACCCCAGTGGCCTCTCAGGACCTATCCTCCAGTCCTAGCCCAGAGGTCCTGCGCAATTTCCAGGATGACACGTGCCTTCCCCAGCAGGGATGGCAGGGGAAAAGGCAGGGACCTTGGCTTGCAAAGGAAAGCTTGTCTTCTCCCAGAAGGAAGTCGGGCTGGAGTCTGGCTAGAACTCACCTCTCCATCCACATGCATCGTCTAGAGAGTGGTACAGAGCATGGCTGATGGCTTTGCAAGAGCCTAAGGCAGGGCTCGGGCAGGCGCAGCACAGAAGAATACTGCCTCTCTGCTGTGGAGCCCTTCCAGAAGGACCCAGAGGTGTTAGCCAAGCCCGGAACAAACACAAAAGCTGCCCCTCTGGCAGACCAGAAGCAGACACAGTCAGCCCTCTGTGTCTAACAAAAGTGACCTAGAGTAAAGATTACAAAAATCACTCACCTCCTTCGCAGAATTCTCATTCCCCTACAGACCCCAGGAAGAGTCCACCTCTGTTCCTTTCCCACATGTCTGTGTCTAGACCCTCCCTCCACCTGCTCCCCCCTGCGTCTTTCTTACCTCTCCTGCTCCCTTAGTGCCCAACATTCTCTTTCTCTCTCTCTCTCTCTCCTTACAAGTCTTCAGCTTTCATCTAAAATCCACTGCTAGCTTGTGGCTGGAGTCCCATGGACAGACATACACACTTAGGCCCAGGGTTCTGCATGCCAGCAGCTGCCTGTGACGTTGGATGGCCATTTTGTATCTGCTGTGCTTTGTAGAACTTTCTTCCTGGGTTCCTGTCTGATGGCCAACCCAGTTTGATTTTGCTACACATTCTTTCCCCGGAAGGTCAGTAATTGTGAGAACCACAGGAAAAGTAAAGGGAGGGAACCCCAGTAAGAAAACTCGGAGAGGACCCCACCAGCTTTTCTCAGAGCAGATCCCAGTTACCCCATCTCCTGTTGGCTTTTCGGTGCTGGGCCAATAAGTCTTGCCTGTTCTTCACACCGTTCCTTGGTGGCCTCATTCACCCAGCCAGTCTGGCTTGTCATGATGCCCCTCATGCAAACACTTAGAGCTCAATTGAGGATTCAGATTTCCTCTTCTTGGTAGCCATGCCTTGGTGGAGAGTGCATGTTGTTGTCCGAGATGCCAGCTAGAGTGAGAGGGAGGCCGCGGTGCCCTCTCAAGTTGCCCAGTGGATGGCAGGGAGGGGAGTCGCGGGGGTGAGGGCGGGGGAGAGCAGCCTGGTGTGGCCAGGACCCACAGCATCTGCAAGTGGCAGGGGTAGAGCTGTGTCTCTGTGGCTCATCCGCCACTTTCCACAGCTAGGCGCTCAGTCTTCCCAGCACCCTGCACATCCACTGGCAGAGCTGGCCCCGAGCTGGCGAGTGTAACAGATCCTGCTCAGTTCAGAGTAGGCAGGTAGTTTCTGCAGCAAGAGCAGCCGAGGCGAGGCTGTGAATTCCACACGCAACGCTGAGGACCGAGCGCAAGGCCGTCCCTCTGGAAGGAAGGCCGTTAGGAGAACAGTCCAGGCACATACTGCCGTGAAAGGGGCCCCGACCCACGTGTCCGGGGGTGGACCTAGTACGTGTGCCAAGGAGAGCCGCCTATGGCCCCCTATGGCAGACTTAAGGCGTGAGAGGCCCGCGCTCTGCGCAGGACGGAGGAAAGGTAAGATGCACAGGCTGAAGGTGCCCGCCGGCAGTGGCAGGCAGCCTCCGCACAGGCGGCAGCAGCCAGGCCGGCCTCTCCACTGAGTCTGCTCTCTTCTCTCGCAGCTCGGGGACCTGCTGCACAAGCTGCGGTTCGTGCTGGCCTATGTGGCACCCTGGCAGATGGCCTGGGGTTCCTCCTTCCACGTCTTCGCCCAGCTCTTCGCCGTCCCGCGTATCCTTTCTCTGTCTGCCCTCAGCCCGCTCGGGGAGTCATGCTGTCTGGAGGGGAACTCCTGGGGGAACCCGGCACCAAAAACACTTGAGAGTCTCCGCGATTATGTTTTAATGGGGGCATGGGGAGGCGTTTGGGACCCCTTCGGGCCACTTTGCTTTAAAGATGCCTCCTGGTCCAGGGCTCCTCTGCTCTGCAGTGTGCACACACGCACGCACACACAGACACACACACACACACACACGCCTTCTGTTTTTGCCAATGCTTCCTTTTTCTGTGCCCAGAGCTGCAGTGCGACAGCCCGCCTCCTACATGGAAACAACATCCACAATCGGACTGACTTGTGCAAAATAGTGCAGATTGATTTGCCATTATTACACATCACTGAGCTGGGCAGAGGCACATATGTAATATTATGTTATGACATAACATAAGTATTATATATACATGTGTGTACATACACATTTCATCACTGTTAAAAGCACAGACCTAGAGATGAATGGAATTCCCCATATCTTTGAAGATTAAAACAATAAATTGCTGCTTAGTTTCATGATTATTGGCAAAACAAAAAAGGCTTGGTTTCCTTGAATGCTTCTATGTTTCTGCATGATAATTCATTTTAATTCATTTAAAAACCAACCTGACATGCCCTTCTGAGGTTCCCCTGACATAGCTGTTTTCTGTGCACATGTGCATTCTTGTGTACACATGAGTATGCACATATGTGTGTGTATATGCGTGTATGGAGAGACAAAGATGTTAACTGAAAAATTCTTTTTTTTTTGGGGGGGGGGTCCGGTCGTGGGGCCTGAACTCTGGGCCTGGGCACTGTCCCTCAGCTCTTCAGCTCAAGGCTAGCGCTCTACCACTTGAGCCACAGCACCGCTTCCGGCTTTTTTCTTTTTGCTTATGTGGTGCTGAAGAATCGAACCCAGGGCCTCATGCATGCAAGGCAAGGTTCTACCACTGAGCCACCTTCCCAGCCCCACTGAAAATATTCTTGAAGAGAGAGATTGGTAGAAAGTTTCCAAGCCTGTGATTTGTCCTTAGAGGTTTCCTGTTCCTCTGTACTTGTACCAAGGTGCAGTTTGTACATTGAGTAGACTTCATGGGTTTAGGAAAAGTTCTGCTCCTCAGCAAGGCTGAAGCTCAGGTCTGGGCCACTCAGCCTTCTGGGAGCTGCTGTCTGTCAGTGTTGGTTGGACACAGCGTTGATGTAAGGTGCATTGAGGTGATTCACAGGGGACCGGATTGGGCCGGGCTAGCTGTTCCAGCCACGAAAACCCTGGGGAAGCACTGAGGGTTGATATGTTGCAGAGTTAAGGCCATCTCCTCCAGGGTTGTTGGAAACCTTTCGGAAAGCAAATCGAGCCCCCGTGGAGGGGCGTGTTCTGGCTTGTCTGGGTCCCTGCTCCCAGACCTGCCCTAGCATTTCTGAAGTGGCTCAAGGTTATTTGGCAGAACAAACCTAGAGAAAGCATTGGTGCAGGGTGAGCTCACCCGCCCCCCTTCCTCTGACTGAGGTTGGTCCTGTGGTTCTCTGCTTCCTTCAGCAAGGTCCTGGGGCTCTGGAGGGCGGCGTGTCTGTGCCTCCCTGGGCATGTGTGGCCATCCCAGCGGAGGCTGTCTGGCTTCGTCCCCAGCCCGGCAGGCAGGCCCCGAGGCTCGCACCTGGCACGTGCTGGCCGCTCGATGTCTGCTGTGCAAATCCAAGCAGCATCTGCTCCCATCTCTGCTTGGGCTTCTCCTGTGCCCGCGCACTTTTTCCTCAGAGGCTGAAGTAGGAAGGGTGCAGAATCAATGGCCCACTTAGTAGTTCTAGAACATTCCATTGATCTCTTGCTGTTTCCACAACTGTGCTGTTAGTGACATCCACTCCCATGGGGCCTGGACCTGCCCTCATGGGGGCACGGAGGCTGCCTGGGCTCTGCCTGTCCACACCACCTCCCCACCGTGGCTTAGATGTAAAGTATGTTTTCCATGCCACAAGCTTTCTAAGGCCAGCCTGGATCCCAACACGGCCATGTTAATTATTTTATCACCCCATTAAACTAGGGCCTCCAACCCAGCACGAGAACGGAGTAATTTACTCCATTCTGGAATTGAATTGGCTTTCGGGCCCACAGGGCCCAGTGGGTAAATTGCTTTCTCCAGTGCTAGCACGTTTTCTCCCCGAGTCTCTCTGTTGGTGTCTGAACTTGTAAACCCAGGGGAAAGCTGGGAATGCAGGCGCTCTACGTGTGTGTGGAGCCCGTGGGAGACGGCCGTCTTCAGTAATTAGACAGACGCACGTCCCACGCTGTCCCTGCCGAACGCGCGTGTGCAGGGAGGCATCCCCTCCACAGCCTTCCGAGCTTTTGTGACTGCTTTTCACCATTCAGTGATCAGTGCCTGTGTTCCAGCCCTTTCCCTGGGCTACGTCCCGGGCTCTCCCGGAGACAACTGCAGAGCTTCGGGTGCCCCATGTCGGGCCCATCCTGGGTTCCGTGGTCATGTCCGTCCTGTGTGCCCAGGCCTGCCGTGTGACTCCATCCTTGCCCACCCCCCCTTCCCCTGGCAGATGACCCACTCGGTCATCCTTCACTCCAGCCTCCCCCCACCCTCCACCTTGCTTCACTCCACTCTTAACTACACACACTGACCGTTACAAGTTCCAGACTCCTGTCACCTCTGAGCAACTGCCATGGTAAGATAGCAAACCTGAGGTGTTGTCTTCGGGAGTTTGTGTCCTCATGGAGGGGCAGACTGCACTGTCCAGCCCCAGACACACCTGACTGCATGTGGCTTTGTCCTGTTTGCCTGCACACTCCGCTACCTAACCCCCTTCCTCTGCAAGCCTCCTGGTGATGCACACGTGGGCACATGTGCACACACACGTACACATATTTATTTACAAATAGTGGGAAAATGTTATTGAAGAAACTGGTGCTGGCTTCCCAAATAATAAATGGTTATTGATAATTTATTTATTGTTGGTTGCAGGGCTTGAGCTCAGGGTCTGGGCGCTGTCCCTGAGCTCTTTTGCTCAAGGCTAGTGCTCTACCGCTTTCAGCCACAGCTCCATGTAGTACATATGTTGAGTGGATAATTGGAGATAAGAGTTTCACTGGTACTTATCTGCCTGAGCTGGCTTGGAGCCACAATCCTCAGATCTCAGCCTCCTGAGTGGTCAGAACTATGGGCATGAGCCACAGGCACCCAGCTGTTTTTTTTTTCTAAAGTATAATTTAATTTTACTGATTTACTACTTAGTAAATGTGGCCGGCACGTGCTGGGCAAGCAGTCTCTGTGGGAGGAAAAGGTCTTCGGGTCTCGGGTTTCAGGCCTTTGTGAGTCAGTGGTTTGAGGCCACAGGGGTTCGAGTGAGGACTGCAGGTGTATATGGTGGGACATGCAGCGTGCAAGGATGATTCTGGAAGGTCTGCATTTTCTATCTGTGCATAGGGATGGGGGCTGTCCTCCTGCTTACAAGCACAGAATGAGGAGCAGGGGTTCTGAGGAGGGTCCCGTCCGGAAGGACATTCGTGCCCACGGCGGTGACCTCTGTTTGCCTTGACTCCACCCTCAGATTCGGCTATGCTCTTCTTCCAGACGGTTGCCACGTCGATCTTCTCCACACCTCTGAGCCCGTTCCTCGGGAGCGTCATTTTCCTCACCTCCTATGTCCGGCCGGTGAAATTCTGGGAGAAAAACTACAAGTAAGAGCTACACCTGTGCCACACGCCTCTCCACAGGGGCCGGGCCTGCGGCCTCTCCATGGCAGGCTCTGGCTCCGAGTAGATCAGGCTTTGGGCAAATCCAGACTCGGGTGGACTTCCTACCTTATCAACTCCGCTCCTGGCACTGAGGCTCTGGAGGAAATGTGGCCGCTGGTGAAGCCCAAGCTGGAGAAAAGACCAGGGCTTTGGGTCCTGAGGGGAGAGCTTTGTGGGCCTGGCTCTCAGCGGGTGACCAGGGAGGTACAGCCTGGCCACCCATCCTGACATTTGACACCAAGCCTGCTCGGGGGCGGCATTTCCCCATGTCCCGCCCTCTGTCTCTGCACACGGTGGAAAGCCCCCAAGCGCACACAGGGTGTTCCCCTGCGTCCGCCACTACTTGGACGAGCTCTGAATTTCCTTCTGCCAGTGATAGGCTGCCGCCCCTTTATGGGCGGGGGCTGGCTCTGGGGATAGGTCTGGAGTGCCACCCTCACTTGGCTGCCCATCTGCCACACTGCTCACCAGTCCAGCCGAGGGAGGAGGGGCAGTGTCCACAGAGGGAGCTCAGGGGCCTCCTACCACACCCTCAGGGAAGACTTGGGCTCAGCCTGTGTGAGGACGGCCCAGAGCCAGGCTGGCCTCTTTCTGAGCTAGTCGGGTCTGGTTGGGTCCTGGCTGTTAACCGGGAACTCTGACCCTCCCGTATGGTGCTGGCCCTTGCCATCAGCAGAGCCCTGACCCTTGGTGGTGTGCTCTGTCCTGTCTCAGGGCCGGTGGCTCCCCGCTTCTCCCGTGAGGTGGTTATTTGAACACAGTGGGCACCGTGGACCCCCCAGAAAGTGTGCTCTTGGGCTGGGCCTGCCCTGACCACCGGGGCCATGCTCACAGTGCTCACCTGACTCCACATATCCACCCTGGGTCTGTGTAGCCCGGGCTGGCCTTGAACTCACCATCCTCCTGCCTCAGCCTCTGGGCATGCTAAAAGTAGAGTCAGCCACCACCATTTCTGGCTGTCTGCGAGTGTTTTTAGGAGAGGTAACAATTCTGGGGCTCTTTGGGAGCCCTGCTGGTCACCCCTGAGCAGTGTGAGCTTCCTGAGGGGCAGAGAGGGGGGAGCACTGCCCCAGGAGCACCGACGCCCAGGGAACCTTTCAGGGTGGTTCGTAGTAAAGGGTAGCCATCCTTCCACTTCCCTGTAGGCCCGGAAGCCCCTCCCAACCCAGGGCAGACACCCACAGCCTGCAGAGAGCCCAGTGCTTGAGGGGGAGGAAGGGGGCACAGCAGAACCAGCTCCTCATGAGGCCTGTGTCCTGATCTAGAAGGCGGTGCGCACCCCCAACACCACCATCAAAGACCCCTGGTCTCCACGTCAGGCCCTGCCCGGACTTGGCCTTCTCACACTTTCTCTTTTCCTTACTCTTCTTTAAGACATGCCTTACCATCTGGTAGCCCACCCTGGCCTCTGGCTTATGACCCTCCTCCCTTGGTCTCCTGAATGCTGGGAAAGCAAGTATGCACCGCTGTGATTGACACCACTCATTTTTTTCCTCCTTCCCTCCCTCTTTCCCTCCTTCCTTCCTTCCTTCCTTCCTTCCTTCCTTCCTTCCTTCCTTTCCTTCCCTTCCCTTCTCTTCCTTCCTTCCCTCCCCCTCCCTCCCTCCCTCCCTTTCTTTCTTCTTTCTTTCTTTCGTTCTTTCTTTCTGTCTCTTTCTCTTTCTCTTTCTCTTTCTCTTTCCTTCCTTCCTTCGTTCCTTCCTTCCTCTCTCTTTCTTTCTTTCTCTCTCTCTCTCTCTCTTTCTTTCTTTCTTTCCTCTTTCTCTTTCTTTTTGCTAGTTCTAGGGCCTGAACCCAGGGCCTGGGAGTTGTCTCTGAGCCTCTGTGCTCAAGGCTAGCACTGTACCACTTGAGCCACAGCACCACTTCTGGCTTTTTTGAGTAGTTTATTGGAGATAAGAATCTCACGGGGACTTTTGTGCCCGGGTTGGGCTCAGCTCTCACCTGAGTGGCTTGGATTACAGGCGTGAGCCACCGGCGCCTGGCTCACGCACTTTTTCTTAGTCACAAAGCCGGCGCCAGTGGTGGCTGAAGGGCTGTGATCACCATCCTCCAGCCCCGAGAGCGGCACATTCCCGGCTCCCAGGAGAGTGGCACGGCTTATCTGAGGGTATTACACATCGTGGAACGGGACTGTGTCCACTTTTCACACCTGGTCCCCACTGTGGGACCCCTTCCTGAGCTGACCCAGAGGCTGGGGTGTGCCGGGCTGCACCCCATTATGCAGGGTCAGGTGGAGGAGGCAGTGCGGTAGCAGAACATGGGGGCAGCCTTCATCTTCCCACATCCACTGCTCACTACCTCCCCTCACCGCCATGGGTGCAGCCCAGCCTCTCTCCACATGACATTTTCTCATTTGACAGATCAGAAAAGGAAACTGAGGGCCATCACATATGGTACCCAAGGTCTCAGAGCCAGCAACCAGCTGAGCTAGGATACTAACCCAGGTCTGGCCTTATTCCAAGCCCCGAGCACTTTCCATGAAGCCCCCAAGGCCCATCACTTCACACACAGGCATGCATGTGCAAAGCATCCTCAGAACAAGTTGTCTGGCCAGCACCCGGCCTTGCAAGAGCTCACACGGAGAGCAAACACCAGGCCCAGGTGTGCTGGGACAAGTCTCCAATCAAAGGAGGCGCGTTCCTCCATCCGCCCTTGCTGTCCTCCTGTCCCTGTCCCCTGTGCTGTCCTGCCCTTGGATAGAATGGCCGGCCATCCCCAATCGCACCCCAGGTTGGCTGTAAGAACCAACCCCACCCAGCTCCTTACCCAGCCTGCCAGATTCCCTGACCCAACGTAGGACACGGCCTTCTGCACTTGGTGTGTGTTGCTACAGGGGACTGCAGTGATACCAGGAGAGAAAATTAGTTAAATGACTAGTCACTCCTGAACCCACCCTCGAGCGCAGTGTTTGAGGGAGGGAGTGATGGGATGGGCAGACGGCGGTGACCCAAACACCACCCCCACCCCCAGCTCTGCCCCTGCGCCCGGCCGTGTTTGCAGAGAGAAAGGGGCTTTGGAGAGGCCTGGGATGGGCACTGGCCGTGCCCCGGATGCAGCTGTCCATGCACAGTGACTCCGACAGGCGTACCCTGGGCATCTCCTGTGGTCTGCACCCTCACATCTGCATGCATCTCCCGAGATGGGGGTGAAATTGAAGCCCCAGTCCTCTACTGAGCATCAGCTTTGACATTACACAACAGGACAGAAATCCAATTACTGAACTAATTAGCACCTGCATGTGGTAGGCAGGAAATTCACAGGAGGACAGCCCTGGGGTGGGAGCCCCCCACCCCCACCCAGAGCAGGGCAGGGGTGCGGTGCGGGGGTCATGTTCCGAGAGCCGAGACCAGGGAGCGAGCAGCTTGGCTGAATTCTTCCCATCAGAATTTAGCACCATGGTTCAGAAGAGGCTTTTGAACAGGGCTTCCAAAAGGCTTTGAATTCTCCAAGGAGGTTGGAAACTGGCTTTCCTTCCTCTGGGTCCCACTTTAAAAATCATTTATTCTGCTGCAGAAGGTTCCATTTGTGGAAGGTCTTGAGGTGAAATTAAGATTCCGTCTGTGTGGGAGCCGAGGTGCAGGCATGGATTGCAGCCTGCTATGCGTTTGTGTGGACAGCCCATGCTTCTCCTGTGCACGCAGGACCCTCCGTGTGTCCTCATCTGTGTAATTTCTGTAATTCTGCTCTCAACGTGGATTATGTTTCTAGAGAGAGGCCCTTTCTTCTCGTATTTTTGTTTTTTTAGATGGCAGTGGGGTTTGAACTCAGAGCCTTGTACTCATCCCTTCCCATCCCTTCCCTCCTCCTCTCCCCCCCACCCATCTCCACACCATCCTCCCTCCCCACTCTTCTCTTCCTGCAGTGTCACGTGGCCGGCCTTCACCCCAGTGCCGTCTCCTCTGCAGATCCTGCTCACACGCTTGTCGAGCCTGCAGGATCTAATCCTGACCTTTTACCTTTGTGACCCCTTCTAGAACAAGGCGCGTGGATAATTCCAACACGAGACTGGCAGTCCAGATCGAAAGGGACCCAGGTAAGAAGCTTTCTTCTACCTTCCTCCTAAGCTTCGTGTTTGTCTTCTCCTGAGGATGGACTCCAACAGGACAAGTGAGTGTGCTCATTCCTTTCGGTTGTGATGGACCTGCTGGTCTTGGTGAATAGGCAAATGAGGACAAAGCCAGTCGAGGAAGATGCCAAGACTCCTGGGTAAATCTGGAAATGTATTCTTCCTTGTTGAGGACTGACAAGCTCTTGTTCACACTGAGTGACTCTGCTGGGCCATTTTACTCTGTGTGGTAAATGCCAGCACAGACTGTAAGCCCAGGGATTGGTCCTCGGAGAATTCTTTGGAAAACAGCCATAGGATGTTGGTAAAGACAAGCCACTGCAGGATGTGCAATCCGGACTCCTCTAGAAAGCTCGGGCAGCCGTAAGCTAGGGAAGGTTTTGCCTGCTTGAAAAAGTATTTGACTTTTTTTTTCTTTTCCATCATCTCTCTCATTTTCCATTCTTTCTCATTCTTATCAAAGTGCAAATGTCCACTGTACTTTTAAATGAGGGGGACATTTTTATTGGCCCCATGTCCTCCTTGGTACCCCAGATCTCATCTAGGAGGAATGAGATCTTGCCCATTCTGTATGCAGATGCCTAGGTGACCCGGTGTACATTGAAAGTATACACCAGGACCCTCGGGTGCCACATTGGAGCTTGGCAGTGCCACACACTGTAGAGCGACAGCTGTCCCTTCACAGCCGTGGGGAGACAGGGCCTACAGCGTGCCACCACCACTGACCCAGAAAAGAAGTTGCAAACTTGGCAAGAAGAGTTTCTACTAAACATACACTGTTGTCACATCATCATAAAGTCAAAAATCCCCAAACCCAACGCCCTTAAGTTGGGCTCACTTGTATTTCAATTGTGTACACACAGGGAATATAAAATCAGAATTTAAGATTTGAAGATTCTGGAGACTCTGGGTTTTTTCTGGTGGACACTTGTGTCCGGGCGTGGAGGTGAGGGATGGGTGCATTTCTGTGTCTCCGTGGGACTCCATGATCAGCGGACCAGGGTGCCAGACACACGGTCAGCATCACCAGCACACTCTGCTTTCCATGACCATAAGGACTGCCTCGCAGGCCTAATCACACAGATGTGTGGTGGCTGCATTCTAAGAAGACGCTCCTTCAAAGATTTTAATTGTTTTGTTTCATTTAAATGTCAAACAATTTGAGTAGCCATGCAAACGATGCTTCTCTCACTCAGGTCTTTCAAAGACCTGGGACCTCAGTGATCCTCCATTGCGGTCTCCATGTTGGCATAGTGGCAGCCTCAGCCAGGATCGAGTGTAGGAGAGCAAGTCCCTGACATTTGACTGGTCCATGGTCATAGCCACAGGACAGAGCCCGTCAGGGTCAGGTGATCAGTGCACTGATTTCAGCTTGGCTTCACTGCCCAGCCAGGATGCTTATCGGCTGGCAAAATTGTTTAGAGCCTTCTGCACCTTGAACTACATGAGAGCCCGCAGGTGTTGACTGGGCTCTGGGCAGACTTCTGTCCATCTCCTCTGGCGTAGGCTGGACCTCCTGTCCATCTCATCCACTGTAGACTGGACCTGGACCTCCTGTCCACCTCCTCCGGTGTAGACTAGATCTCCTGTCCACCTCCTCTGATGTAGACTGGACCTTGTGTCCACCTCCTCTGGTGTAGATTGGGCTCTGGGCAGACCTCTGTCCACCCCTCTGGTGTAGACTGGACTCTGGGTGGACTGTCAGCCTGTATCTCCCACCACCAGACTCTGTTTTCCCACGAGATGACACAGAGGGCTACTTGAGTCTTACTTCTAGTGGTTTCTCTTGGGGGGAACTCTAAGCCTCTCTGGCTTTCCAGACATCCTTTCGTCCCCCAAAGTAAAGGTCCTGAGGTGGACTGTTGGTCCTTCTTCCACACCCAGGATGGTTTCCACACCCACGGCCTGAGGCAGGAAGCTGGTGATTCTGTCTTTCTTTAAGGAGCATACTGAGATATCCCAGTGAGGGGTGGGGTGGGGCCTGGCAGGAGGACCCAGGGAACTCGCTGTCCAGCCCGGCCCTGCCCTTCCCATATCGTGCTGGCCGTCCACGGGGAGCAGGGCATCCAGTCACCCATCCCCTGTGTCCTGCCACATGAACAGCATCACATCCTGCCCAGGTGCAGAACTTGAATGGCCACGGCTGGGGACACGTGTGGCCCTGTGGAGAGCAGCAGCCACTCCCCTGTATTCACTCAGGAACCAGAGGTCACAGTGCCTCCACCCAGGACACCTGTATGGTCACACACTGGCAACTGTCCCAAGGCCCTGTGGCTGACGGTGGGCATGCAGGCCACAGTGCATGTGCAGGGACCACTGCTGCCCAGCACTAGCAGCCAGCTGCACGGCCCACATTGAAGTGTGAGAGTCTAGGCTGACTTGCACACATGGAAGGCCTCCAGGAGGAAACATTAAGCAGCAAAGTCAATACTGTCTAAGCTCACAGTTCTCAGCCAGAGAATCTGTTAGTTTGTTAATTATCACTTGCATCTAGTCAGTAGTTTAATCCATGTGTCCCAAGGGCTGTTGCCCTGGAGTCCAAAGGGAACAGGTGGTCTCAGAATGCACGAAGATGGGCGGAACAACTCTTTTGGAGTCTATGAAGTCAAACTTGCATGGAGGGAAGGTGGGGCCTTGAACTCAGGGCCTGGGCACTGAGCACAAGGCTGAGTACATAAGCTCAAGGCAGGTGCTCTATCACTTGAGCCACAGCTCCATTTCTGGCATTTTTGGTGGTTAATTGGAGATAAGAGTCTCACAGGCTTTCCAACCTGGGCTGTCCTCAAACCGCAATCCTCAGATCTCAGCCTCCTGATTAGCTAGGATTACAGCCAAGAGCCACCAGCACTTGGCTGTGAAGTCTAATTTTCCCCATAACAAGTGACAGCCTGGGACACACACTCACTGACCCTCTCCCGTCTGCTGCAGGAAATGACGACAACAACCTCAACTCCATCTTCTATGAGCACTTGACACGGACCCTCCAGGAGTCCCTCTGTGGGGACTTGCTTCTTGGCCGGTGGGGTAACTACAGCTCTGGCGATTGCTTCATTTTGGCTTCAGATGACCTCAATGCTTTCGTGCACCTGATTGAAATAGGAAATGGTCTTGTCACCTTCCAGCTCCGAGGGCTGGAATTCCGAGGTAGGAGCATTTCCACTGTAGGTGCTGTGGGGGAGGGATGGCTGAGCCAGGGATGGCCAGATGCCCTGGGGCAGGGGAGAGGCTGAATGAGATGGAGAGCTGGCCACCTTGCCCTCCATTCAAGTGTTCTGACGTGCAGAAGCCGGGACTGCGGGGGAACAGCTACTCCATCACACCCAAGCCTGGGGGCTGGCTGATCCAAATGTGGCTTAGTCCCTCCGGCAAAACCCAGGACCAACCTAGCTCTGTTGGGCACAAATACTGGAGACTTACATGAATGATTGTCTGTGAGCTGTTTTTGTTCCAAAGAACAATGCCACAGCTGCTGTGTGGTCTGAGCGATCTTGTGGCAGGGAAGGTGTTCCACCAGTGTCGGTTGCTCCATGTGTGTTGGGGCTGCCTAGGTCTGCGGCCCTGGTGCTTCTGAGAACCCACAGCCAGAGTTGTGCGGTGGAGCAGGCAGGGTGTGGCATCAGGGAGCACACTTTTGAGAGGTCTATGGATGGGGCTCGGAGATGAACTCACTTCAGAGAAGAAAGGGTGCCCTGGTGGGCAAGATTGTGGAGCAAGGCCCATAGGTGGAGAAAGGAGAATGTTCAAGGTGTAGGAACTGACCTGTGCCGGGGTGTGGCCAGGCCAGGGTGATGTCTGGGACTGGGGCTGGCCAACAAGCCAGCTGCAGCGTGTCTTGGGGGAGGCCAGAGCTGAGCTTGGAGAGTCGCGTGGGGTCTCTGGGGAGGGAAACAGCTGGCTACTTCACACTTGAGGATCTGTTGGGTGCATCTGGAGGCTTCTAGAAGAAGCCAAAAGACGAAGCAGGGCCAGTGAAAGATGGCACCGAAGTCCCCTGGTCAGAGGTGGAGTGGGCACAGCACAAGTAGATGCTGAGGGGCGGGAGGGGGCTGACCGCAGTCCAGGTCAAGCATCGCAGTGGGCAAGGGGCGGTTACCAGTGGGAGTGTCAGGAGAGGCAGTGAGCTGGGCTGGGCACAGGTGCCGAAGGGCTCCTTTTGGATGTTTCATTTTTAATAGGCTCTGGATATACCCAGGCGAATCCATCAGGCAGAGAGTAGGGCCCTGGGTTTTCATTTTCTGTCCTGGGGAGCTGGGGACTCACAGGGAACGCGGCTGCACGTGGGGTGACCGTGTCCACTGAGGTGACCGTCACCTGGGGGAGGGATCCCCCTCCACTGAGCTTGAGTGTGAGGGCTGTGACCCACAGGGCACTGTGGGCCAGAGGGGCACACAGAGGTGGCCTCGTCGGGGCACAGGCCAGTCCAGCAGAGGTGAGGCGAGATCTGAAGGGGAGGAGGGACTCTCCTTTGGCAGGAAAATGGGGAGGAAGGGTGACAACAGCAAGGGGCCAAGGGGCCAGCCACGGCCTCCCGTGGCCAGGCCGGCGGAAGTGTCAGAGCCAAGGCCAGGGAAGCGCGCAGAAGCTCCCACATGGTGGAGGCAACTTTCAGCTATGCCTCTGTGCCCGTTGTTTCCCATCCTGACCTAAAGAAGGCATGTCTCCAAGTTCTGGGGTGGGGGTCCCTCAGCCTTGCCTCCGTGGACATTCATTCCCTTGTGGCTCTGCACAGAGGACTGTCTCTGTTGTGGAGCAGTAGCTCCTGTGCCTGGAGCATATGTCCAGTGCATTTCTGTGAACGTTGGGACCGGAAGGAGTGACGTTTGGACCAAACCGTGGGGTTCTGCAGAGTGATCAGGAAGCCGATTTCCAACAACAGGAACGTGCCACAAGAGGCCACGGGGAGAGCTGGGGGGGGTGGGGCAGACCCCGTCTCAGGGGCTGAGTGGAGGCACGTCCCCTGGCTTTCCCAACAGCAGCTACCTGGAGAACTCTTCAGTTTTCCTTGGAATTCCAGGGAAGACTTTTCAAAGTTAACTTAGTAGAATGTGAGTTATGGTTTCTACCACAAGTTCTAGGTAGTTGTCGGCCTTATTAACAAACTTAACTAATCTTTGAATTCAAACGGTCCAAAGTTGATTAGATCTTAGGCAAAGTGATTAGATCTTAGATCTTCTGCCTGCCAGCCCCTCCTCAAAGGCAAGGTCCTTCTCAGTTAGGAAACATCTGGATCTCTACTGCTGCCCAGCATTGCTTGTAGTGTAAGTGTGTGGTGTAAAGTGGCACAGCAACAAGAGAGCAGCAACATTGCATATTTCTCAGCATTGCGTGGTTGACCAGTTGTCCAGGGTGAGTCACACACATGCTGCCCCAGTGAAGCTGTGGTCCTGGATACCACACCCCAGGGTGAATGTGACCTTAGAACCCTGGATGGGCACTACCTGGTTACCCAGACTCCACATCCTGGCAAGGCCCAAGAGCCTGTGGGACTCCACGGAGGGCAGCACGCCTCTTCAGGGCTGGCCTTCAGGACGGGCGCCGTCGACTGCTGCCACATTCCAGTGTCCAGAGTCATGTTCAAGAAGAGCTCAGGTTCCAGTGGCTGTACAGGGGCCCTGTGGCTGCCTGGCACTGCCAGGCCATCAGAGGCAGGGGGTCATTCTCTGGGGCAGAATGTTGTAACAACCAGACTCCTGGAACCTCACAGGGTAGAGAAGAGATGACTTCCTGTGTGCTCAGGGCCATGCTTGGGAGGCCAGACCAAGAAGAGAAGGGCTGCGCTAGGGCCTGAGGATTCCTTAGACAACCTCAGTTGCAAGGGCAGCGGGCCCCAAGTTCACTCCAGCATACCAACACCGTCTTGCGGAAAATGCCAGCCTATCCAGCCAGGCTCGCTCAGGCTCCTACAGTGCACCGCCTTCGACCCAGCTTGACAAGAGTTTGGGACACGGGGACTTTATCTGAGCCTGCAGCCTGACAGAATCTAAATTGTGCTTTTGTTACAGGAAGAACTCCGTTGACCTAAAATGACTGTTCTGTTGATTCTCTCTGCAGCATACACTGTGGCGTTCCCCAAAGCCTGTTTATATCCTTAGCTGTTGTTCTAAATATCCTTTCCTTTTCTTCTTCATTCTCTATTCTTCCAGACAATAGGTTTTATTGTGTTCAAATTTAATATACTCCCACTCAGCCGGGGACAGTGAAATCTAAACTTGTGGGTCTCTCACCTCCAGAATGCTGAGGAAACGAGTGGAAATGTGAGCTGCATTCAGCATGAGCCCTTCCCTCCCTCCCTCCCACCATCCCTCTCTCTCCCCTCCCCCCCTCCCTCCCACCTTCCCTCCCTCTGTCTCTGTCTGCCTCTCTCTCTCCTGGGGATTGAGCCTCCTCTGACTGTGTTCATGCCAGGCAAGTGCTCTAATACTGGACTATACCCTCATTCCTGATTCCTTCTCAAGAAGTGAAAAATACACAAGAGAAGGTGGCCATGTCCCCAAAGCCACAGCCCCTCTGGGGCTGGGAAGATGGCTTAGTGGTAGAGCGCTTGCCTTGCATGCATGAGGCCCTGGGTTCGATTCCTCAGCACCACCACATAAGCAGAAAAAAAAAGCTGGAAGTGGCGCTGTGGCTCAAGTGGTAGAGTGCTAGCCTTGAGGTGAAGAGCTGAGGGACAGCGCCCGGGCCCAGAGTTCAGGCCCCATGACCGGACCCCCAAACAAAAAAAGAAAGAAAAAAGAAAGTCCCTCTGTCATCTTCCACGCTGAAAGTGAACATCCATAATTCTTAGCTTCAAGCCTCAGACATCAGCTCTAGCTACTCGAGAGGAAAGGAGAGGGCGCATGAGAGGGCACAGGTTTGTCCAGCGGGCAGAGGGAAGGGTCATGAATGAAGACACATGACAGCTCAAAAGAGCCACATCTGGACAAGGGACCCACATCAGTGACACCTAGCCTGGATACCAGGTGGCATGTCCCTAGAAACTGGACAGATGGCCTGTGCTGTCACCTCCTTCCTGACCTCTCCCATGGCCTGCCTCTCCATGTCACCCGTTCCCTGGTCACATTTGCATGATAAACAGACATGCTAAGGTCATGCGCATGTGCCCCAGACGCAGGGTGCCCCAGGCCAAGGAGCATCTGACTTTGCGGTTCTCATGGCTGCTGGTCACCTCTCACTTAAACTTGGGGGCATCAGTTGAGGCCACACTAGTGGTTCTAACAATGTGTCTAAGTGTCCAGTCCATGACCAACAGACCCTTTGATGTGCCTGGCATTCCCTCAGAGTCCCTCCTGGTGCCTGGCCAATGAAAGCACTGCCAGCTGCCTACACGTTGCCCCCAAGGTCACCTTGAACATCCATACAGAGCTGGTGGAAAGTGGAGGATTATTGTAAGCCAGGTCCAAGCCTTAGGTTCAGCATTTCTTTCTACATCCTATGGTCCTGTCATCCCTGTTGAACTGACACAGCCACTGGCGGGCTGAGGAATGCTTTCCAGTGTCCTGGAGGAAAAGCAGCAGCTTGTGGACAGCTAGTCTCTGGCACAGAGCTTCGTGTTCCAAATATAGAACATAAGCTTCCATTCTGGGCAGCACCTCTCATTCCTTGTCTCAATCAACACCGTGCTGAATGATTAAGACAAGGGTGGCATCAGGATATGAGTAGACCGAGTATGTGGCCCAAATGGTAGAGTGCTGGCCTAGCAAGTACAAGGTCCTGAGTTTAGCCCCTACTGTTAACAGAAAGGAATCTAAATAAGCCAGCCATATGTTTCTGTTCTATTCTTTTTGGCCCATTCTAGCACAGAATAGAAATAAATTCCATTCTTGCTCACCTGAGAAATCAGGACTGTAGGCCCGACTGCTCTTGCATTTGCATACATGACTTGCATCTCCCTGGCCAGGGAGGCTTTGAGGAAAACACACAAGAGCTGACGGCTGAATCTAGGTCAAGGTCACAAAGCAGGCGAGAAGGTCAGCAGGTTGAGGGGCACCAAGTATAAATTTTGTCAAGAGAAATGGAGTCTGCTGGGTCAGAAATCCCAGGTGGCCACCATTGGAGCACCAGCTGGGAAATCACGTTTCCCTGCTGTCCCACACTTCCTGCCTCCTCATCCCACAGTGATGCTCAAGGTGACCTTGGAAGAAGAA